CTGGAAGCTTACATTCTAATGGTAGGAGACAAACAGTGATCACATAAACAAGAAAATATATAATATATAAGGTGGTTTAATGCTTAAAAGCATTCTTTGAAGAAAAACAAAGGAATATAAGGACTATGTAGCAAGTGATGAGAGACAATAGTACTGGTTTAGAAAGAATGTAAGGTGACCTTTGAACAGAGTTCCAGCAGAGTGAACAGAAAAGGTAAAGGCTCTGAGATGGGAAAGTGCTTGATACATTTGAGGAACATCAAGGGGCCGTTGTGGTTAGAGAAGATTAGCAAGGGGGCAAATAGTAGGAAAGGAGGTTAGAGAGGTAACAAGGACCCAAGTGGGTCATTAAAAGGATTTCACTGTCGTTGTCACGGGAAGCTACTGTGGGTCTTAAAGAGAGGAGTTATATGATCCTACTTAATGTTTTAACAGGATCACCCTGGCTGCTGTTGGAAATAGACTCTATGGGATCAAAGGTAGAAGCATGGAGATCAGTTATGAAGCTGCTGGAATAATCTGGGTGAAAAATAATGATGACTTGGACTAGGATAGAAAGTGTGTAGGCAATGAGATATGGTCAGATTCTGAATATGTTTTTTTTTTTTTTTAAAAGATGACCGGTAAGGGGATCTTAACCCTTGACTTGGTGTTGTCAGCACCACGCTCACCCAGTGCGCTAACCGGCCATCCCTATATGGGATCCGAACCCGTGGCCTTGGTGTTATCAGCACCGCACTCTCCCGAGTGAGCCACGGGCCGGCCCCTGAATATGTTTTGAAGATGAAACTGAAAGGATTTGCTGATGTGGATAGGAGAGAAAGAATAGAGTCATGGATAACTCTGAGGGTTTTGGCCTGATCAGCTGGAAGAATCAATTGTCATCTACTGATGAGAAAACTGCAGAGAACAGGTTTAGAAGGGAGTGAGAGGATAGAAAGTGAAAATTTATTTTAAAAAATTTTTTGGCAGCTTGCCAGTAATGGAGATCAAACCCTGGACCTTGGTTTTATCAAACCATGCTCAACTGATTGCGCTAACCAGCCAGCCTCCCCAAAATTTAATTTTAAGTCTTTCGTGTTTGAAATAATAATAGCAGTAATAGCTAACTTTTTGAAGGCTTAACTATGTACCTAGCCCCTAGTGCTTTGGAATCTTAACTAATTTAATCCTTCTAAAATCCTATTATATTAGGCAAGTAATATTATTAGTCCTGTTTTACAGATGGGCACAAAGAGTTTGTGGCCCAAGATCACACAGTGGTGTGACTGGGATTCAAACCTAGGCAGTCTGGCTACAGAGCCCACATTCTTGACCACTTTACTACAGCCATGATATCTAGTAAACATCCAAGTGGAGATGTCAAGTAGGTAGTTAGATATTATATGAATCAGGAGTCCAGGTGAGAAGTCAGGTCTAGCAATATCAAACTTGGGTAAAATTAGTGGACAGGTAAGCTACAAAGGAAGGTTAGGGCAAACCACCATAAAGGGAGACATGGTCACACGAAGACGAAATGATGAGATCAAGCCCCCAAAAGACAAGCTGCCCTCTCAGGTTTGGTTAACCTATAAGTCCTGCTTCTCAAAGCCAAGGAGGGCACAAGCCAAGCCACTTATGGATGCCCCCAGAATACTACTCCCCATGCTTCTGCCTGGAATATCCTCCTTCTTTTTAGTCCACATCCAGGGACACCTAGTATCCAGCATAATCCCTGGCAGCCAATAGGTACTAAATAAATGATGGTTGATAAAGACCCCTTCTGTGCCCACTCTATCCCTGTCATGGCACTTTTCAGACTTTTTTCTAACTGTTCACTTACCTTTCTCCCTCATCAGTTGGTGACCCTCTCAAGGCCAAGGACCCTGCTGGATTTGTTTCTTTTGTTTTTGAACCACTCTTAGCTCCAGAATACAACACCCCTGGTATTTCTTCACTGGGTATCTATTCTCTGCCTCATCTGTGCTATATGCACTAGAGATGGAAACATCATCATCAACAGAAGCAGCAAGATGAAAAATATCAGTTGGGAACAAGGAAACAAAATAAACAAAACAAAATGAAAACCAGAAAAGGAGTGGGGAAGAAGCCCAGATTACCTATGATGCCCTTTTTGGACAGAGAAAATTGGTGGTGGGGAAGGGATATTTTCTATTGGTCACATAGGCTGTCAGCCACACTGCATTTGAGAAGCTCAGGTGCTTGCTGTCCAGGCTGAGAGGAGGAGTAGGGTGGTGTGCTGACAGAGTAGGAAGTGAGAAGGAGGAACTGACCAAGAGCTATTGTGTACAGGCAAATGAGACATAATTGTACCTTCAAGGAGCTTACAGTTTGGGGAGAGGGGTGCAGGATAGGAAATCTAAATAAACTGTCAAGGTGTACAGTGTGTGAAGTACACTGTGATAAGATAATTGGAGCACGCCTGTGTCTTCAAATCTGTTCTGTTCTAAAGGGTAGAAACAACAAGTAGTCAAAGTTCACTGCAGAATGAGAAGGCACTTTCAGACAATCAGCTGATATGGAGTGGGGGTCTCAGGGAAGGAAGGAATTCACTGTCAGTGGAGGTGTAAGGTCTGGGATGAATGTTCCATGAAGATGTTGTAACAGAGGCCCTAACCCTAAATATGAGGTTGGGCTAAATGGCCTTTAAGGTGCTCTCTAACCTCAACAATCTGTGACCTTAAGTCCCTTCCCTTTTCTGGGCCAAGGGATGTCAACTATAAAATGAAGAAGGGTGGACCAAATAAAGCTCCCTCTAGTGCTGTCATTCCATAATATATGCCAAACACAAGTGAGTTAAGAATTTCAATTCTTCTTGGAAACATTGAAGGAAGATCCTATAATTGCCCCTAAAATAAAAGGTATCCGAAATGACAAAACAGGGATGTGATGATTACCTGTGGCTGCCCAGTGTTTCACATGAAGCTGAATACAGATTTCAGCCATGAGACTAGATCACTTGGCTTCCCAGATTAGACCCCTGACTTTCTTCTTGAAAAGTGACATACTTCCAGATTGCTAATTAAGTGACAACAAGTTGTCTACCTCAGTTCTAAAATCAGAAAATGATTAGGGATAAAAGAGAGATGAATTTTCTTTGGAGTTGTAAAGGATTTAGGGAAAGGCATATTAACAAAGATACATTATTAAAGCTCCAATATTTACAAATCCCAAGGAAGCATTTAGGGATTTAGGGATTTAATCTTTGACTTTTAAAACCAGCTTTCCATTGTCAGTCAAAATGAGCATTTAAAAATTGCAGGGAGCAGTAAGAAAGGCACTTACTAGTTCAAATACAAATTGATAGTCTTGCTAGAAATCAGTGTGGCAAAGTATGTGAAGACTCTTAGCATGTCACTTCTCATCACCTCCACTGCTGTTGCCCTGGTCCGAGCCCCATCATCTATTGCCAGGGGTTTGCAATAGTTTCCTAGATGGCCTGGATGCTTCTCTACCCTTGTCCCCTTATGGTCTGTTTTCAACACAGAAATCAGAGTGACCCTTTCAAGTATAAGTCAGATCATGTTATTTTTCTGCTCAAAAGCCTGTGATGCCTTCTCATTTCATTCAGAATAAAAGTAGCCTGTAAGAGTAGCCTGTAAGGCCCTACATGAACTGACCAGCCCTTTATCTCTCTGACTTCCTCCACTACTTCTGTACCCCTCAATTGTTCCACTCTAGCCAAACTGTAAGTATGTAAGTATGATTTTATGTAGGTATGAGTCTACTTACATAAAATACCTAAAACAGGCAAATTCAGAGAGACAGAAAGTAGATTAAAGGTTATCAGGGTTAGGGTTGGGGTTTGGGGAGTTATTGTTAATGGTTAAACAGTTTTAGTTTGGGGTGATGTAAAAAGCTTTGGAAACAGATAGGGATGATAGTTGCACGACACTGTGAGTGTAATTAATGCCACTGAATTGTACACTTAAAAATGGTTAAAATTACGAATTTTATGTTATGCAATCAGCCCTCCATATCTGCAGGTTCCACTTTCAAGGATTCAACCAACCATGGACAGAAAATATTCGGAAATAAATAAATAAACAAACAAACAAACAAATAAATAATAGCAATACAACAATAAAAGATAATACAAACAAAAAGCAGTACAGTATAACAACCACTTACATAGCATTCACATTGTATTATATATCATAAGTAATTTAGAGATGATTTAAAGTATATGGGAGGTTATATGTAAATACCGTGCCATTTTATATCAAGGACTTGAGGATCCTTGGATTTTGAAATCTGCAGGGAATCCTGGAACCAGTTCCCTGCAGGTACTGAGGGACAACTGTATATACTTAACCACAATAAAAACTTTTCAAAAAAACAAAACTATGTATAATATGCTATGGTGAGCTGGGGCTGGCTTATTCAGGCTCTTGAGAACTGATTGTGAGTATCTCTTTCCAGCTCTTCATTCAGTGATGTTGGTAGCTTCAAACTGGCCATGGTGGAAATATTTACACCATAGCAATTGGCAAATGCTACAGAACAGCCCCCACCCCCAATCCCTTTAAACCAATTATTACATACTTACCAACATACCACTCGTATGTGTATAGAAATGCATAGAAAACTATCTGGAAGGATGGATGCCACATTGTTAATGGTGTTACCTCTTGGGAGGAGAATAGTGTTATGGCAGCAATGTGAAAGTAAACTCACACTCTTTACCATATATACTTCTGTATTGTTTCCATTTTTTTTTTTTACAATGAGATATAGACATATATCTTGTATCACTTTTTAAAAATAGACCAAAAAATTTGCATATATTGGTAAAATCTGGTAGTGGTGACTTTTCTTTTGAAAGGCTGGTCACATATTCTGTCTGAAATGATCCGTGCAGACTGAAGACCAAGCCTGGGACTTGGAATCTTTTGTTTCAGAAATCTACTTTTTCCCTGTACTGGTCAGCTTGGGAAAAAAAAAAAAAAACACTACTTTCCTTCTTGCCCAACTAAATGAAGCTTTTCTTGTCTCTGTAGGTTACCCCACAGCCTACCCGGCAGCAGCTCCTGCCTACAATCCCAGCCTGTACCCCACCAATAGCCCCAGTTATGCTCCAGGTAAGAAGAAAGTGGGAGCAGCAGTGGTGAATGGAGTGGGAGTTGGGGTTCTATTTGGAAAAACAAACCCACCTGCTGGCCTTTCCCTGTCCTTAGTTGCTCTGGGCTCAGCCTATCCAGGCTTGATTTTCCTGGGAGTACCTTCTGGGAACTGGGGCAGATAGATAAACCTCAGAGTGGGGGTAGAAGTAGACTCTCCTCCATTCTCCTTGGGACTTAAGGTTGGCCCATCTTTTCTATGTGGGAATGTCTGAGACATGCATCTTCCTCACAGAACCTTTTCTGCTCTCCCAAGCAATATCCAAGTCCATTCTTTGCTCAGTTTCCCCTGAGGCTGCCATTGGGAAATGCACACGTGTGCACACACATAGCAGACTCCTGGGGTGTGGATTTGGAAGAAAGTGAAAGACTTGCCACCATAGGGTAAAGAGCTGAGACAAGCTACTTATTTTTGGCCAGGAGCATTGCAGAGGTCTTACCACTGATCTTAACCCCCATGCTCAGCTGTTGCTTTAACACTGAAGAGCAGGAGAAAGAGTACGGGCTCTGTGGTTAGAAAGTCATGGGTTTGAACCCTGATTACCTAGCTCACTAGTTGTAAGGACTTAAGCAAGTCACCTCACCTCTCTGAGATGCAAGTATAACTACCTACCTCAGAGATGTAGATGGTTTTATGTAAGTTTCTCTTTATTTACTCAACAAGTATTTATTTGTTGAATGTCCTCCACACTGGGATAGAAAAATTAAAAGATGCCGTCTTTGCCTGAAGTAGCTTACAGTCCTTATGGGAGCCTGGCATATAAACAAATTCAGTGTAGAATGGGGTGATAAGTATTGTAAAAGATACATGTAAGAAGAGAGGAAAGAAGAACAGTCTGCTTGGGAGTGAAAGTGTAGGGGAAGCTTCACAGAGGGGCTAGCAATAGAGACTTGAGGGAGAAGTAGGAGGTGTGTTTTTAAGCACACAAAGGAAGAGTGGGCATTCCAGGTGGAGTAGTGCATGGACAAAGGCATGGAGATGTGAGAATATGGGGCTGTGAGGAACCTAGAAGGAGCAGGAATGGTTAAAGCATAAACTGCGAGGGGGGCTAGATGAATCTGAACTACAGATGTGCAAGGGCCAGACTTGGAAAGGCATTAAATGTCATAATAATACCTTTGTTTAGTAAGTATTATTATAGAATTAGAAAGCTTGAGGGGCCAGCCCGTGGCTCACTCGGGAGAGTGTGGTGCTGATAACACCAAGGCCACGGGTTCGGATCCCATATAGGGATGGCCGGTTTGCTCACTGGGTGAGCGTGGTGCTGACAACACCAAGTCAAGGGTTGAGATCCCCTTACCGGTCATCTTTAAAAAAAAAAAAGAAAGAAAGAAAGAAAGAAAGCTTGAAAAGACCTCAGAGATCCTCCATTTCAACCTCTTCTCTTGACAAAGGAGATCCAGAGAGAAGCAGTGTTTTGTCCCATGTTACCCAGTGAATCATCAATAGTATATGGACTAGAACCCTTGGCAGATCTCCTGTCTCTGAGTCTCATGCTTTTCTGTGCCAATCCAGTACTCATTCTACTGTCATTCCCTTTCTTCTGAGATGTTTAAAGGAGAAAAGAACCTGGGCTATGTCTGAAGACCTAGATTTGAGTCACTTTCTACATCAGCAAGCTTAAAGTCACCTGACCTCTCTGAACCACAATTTCCCCATCTCTAAAGTAGGAATCATATAATAATCATATTATAGACACACACACACAATGAAGTTATTAGAAGCCCCCCCTTTTTGGGCAAATAACTATTTTATGCAAATAGGTGAGGTTAATCCCTCAAGTGCTTACACAGATGTGTCATTCCACAGACATTTATTTTGGCCCTGATGTGACTGAGACACTCTGGAAGACACTATAGGTGATTCAAATTTGAGGAAACTGTAGTCACTGCCCTCAAAGAGCTTATGTGACACATAGGCTAGAAATATATAATGGTGTTCTCAGCATTGATTTTATATTTACTTTTAATCAATAAGATATATATTTCCCAAAAATCTATAATAGGAGGCAGAAACAATAGGAACTACAGAAATCTCTGATAAAATATTTAATCAAATTTGATAAGTTCTATTTTAAAAGCTATGGTGGATTTGATTATTAAGTGTATCACAATATATAAATGATTTAAATCAAAGCGCTCTGAGATCCATGAATTGGCTTTGTCAACTATCTAGTCTAAGACAGAATAAGTTGAGTTGTTGCAGAAGGTCAGGTAAGATCAGGAATGAAGAAGATTCATTGTCTTTATAGTCAAGAGACCATCAGTGACTTCATCAGAAGCAGTGTCAGTGAGGTGGTGAGGCTAGAAACCAGAGTACAGTTAATCAAGGAGTGAAGAAGTAGATTTAGCAGATATAGCTTACTCTTACAAGAAACTTGGCTACCAGGGAAAGAAAAACAAAAGGGCATTGACTAGAAGGGAATGTAGGGTTGAAGGAGGGGTTTTTTCAGAAATGAGCATAGTAGTACTAATGAGGGAACAGTAGAGAGGACAAGTCAGAGATGTAGGTCAAGACAGATTCAAGCCTCCAGGAGGTGGCAGTGGGGGTGGGAAATCCAGAGCTTAGCACTCTTTTTTGTTTGGGGGAGTTGAGTGGCAGATGGAGGTGGGGTGCCTCACACAGAAGGGCAGCTCTCCCCTCAGACTAAAGAAAAAGTCACCAGTGAATTTATTCTAAAATAAATTGCCTGGTGAAAGGGGAGAGTTCTTGTCTAATGACCTTGATTTGCTGCAACGGAGGTGAGCACGAGAAAGAGGGAGGGTTCTCAAGGGGAGAGGTCAAGGTGTGAGCCTCACAGGAAGGAGTGGGAGCAGAAACTACCAAAAGATAACATGGCAGGGTAACATTGGAGGCCCACCTGAGGTGGAAGCTGTGAATTTATCCAGGCTCTAATACCCAGGACTGGGCTATTTTTTCATAATGTTCAGCACTTCTGGTGATAGATTGCATGTTTGGCTTTAGGATCAGTTTGGCAAGAAAATGGAAGGACAGGGAGTAGATAGCTACTATTTATTGAATGGTTTCTATATGCCAGGGATTATTTTCAGCTATTTATGTATATTAACATGTTTTATATCACAGCAAATCTCTGAGGTCAGTACTGTTGTTGTTATTCCCATTTTCCAGATGAGAAAACAAAAACGTAGCGAAATTAGATAACTAGCCCTAGATCCAAACCCTGGCATCCTGCCACCATGCCTGCACGAGCTCTTAACCACTGCATTGTAGTTGATGCAGTGGGCCATAGAGAAATTAAGGTGTTAGACTAGATAAACCAGGCTAGAGAGGGAAGGGAGTTCAGACAAGAGGAGCCTGAGACTGTGAAAAAAAAAAAAAAAAAAAAAAAATGGAGAGATTGGAAAGCTCCTGGCACGTGTATTAAGTATTAAGTCTTAATTTTTAAAACAAAAAATAAGCCCTCATCTCACTTGATTTTCCCCAATTTTATGTTTTTAAAAGTCAACATATTTCTAAGCTGTGACTAAAAGTAACTCATTTCCATAGAAACCCACAAAGTCCACAAGAGAGGGTAGTGCTAGTGCATTGTGTTAGAAAGCTCCAAAATGGGAGTTGGAAGACCTGGATTGTAACACTAACTCTGCTTCTGATTTTGGTGTGACCTTGGGAAGATCCTTTTTCCTTTTGAGTTAAACACACAGCACAACTGGATCTTTTTCATATTTTTGTATGCTGGCCTCTGTATTCACAGGTCTTCTGATTGCAGTGGGGGAGTTCCTGCCATGGAGGAGTTGGTTCAGGGTCAGAGAGGACAGTGTAGGTTACTTTCAGCTTCCTGCCAGATCCAGCCGTTTGTGATGCAGAAAGGTGCTTGCTGGAGTAAAAGCCTGCAAAGGAGCCAGGTTCTCTGGTTTAAATTTCTTTCAGCTGCTTCAAGGAGACCAAGAAGTTGCTTCAGTGAGAGCTATTTTTAGCAGCTCTGAGTACCCTAAGATATCATCTGTCCAGGATGCAGGGAAACATTTCACTGTCATTGGTTCTGAAAGCAATGTGGATACTTGGAGCTTTTCTCCAAGGTCTTAATGATTTCAAGGATCTTATTTAAAAACTATTGGCCCCATAGGAAGCAGGAGTGAACCAAGACTTGATTTTCAGAACAGAATCTGGAGACCAAAGGTTTGTCATGTTAATGGTACTCTGACTCGAAAAATGAAGGGAGCATTAAACAGGATAAATAATATAAATGAAAATGAAATACCTCCTCATAAGAATCTGTTTACAAAGCATTTCTATCTATTGTCTTATCTGAATCATAGTAGCCCTATAAAGTACACATATATTATTCCCATTTTGCATATGGCCTACCTGGGGAAGAGTAGGGGAAAGGAATTTGTGTTTTCTTTTTTTTTGTTTGTTTGTTTTGTTTTTTGTCTTTTTTGTGACCGGTAAGGGGATCGCAACCCTTGGCTTGGTGTCGCCCGCACCGCGCTCAGCCAGTGAGCGCACTGGCCATCCCCATATAGGATCCGAACCCGCAGCGGGCGTGCCGCTGCGCACCCAAGCGCCGCACTCTCCTGGGTGCGCCACGGGGCCGGCCCGAATTTGTGTTTTCTTTTTTTTTCCCCCCCCCCCCTGTTTTTTGTCTTTTTTGTGACCGGTAAGGGGATCGCACCCCTTGGCTTGGTGTCGCCCGCACCGCGCTCAGCCAGTGAGCGCACTGGCCATCCCCATATAGGATCCGAACCCGCAGCGGGCGTGCCGCTGCGCACCCAAGCGCCGCACTCTCCTGAGTGCGCCACGGGGCCGGCCCGAATTTGTGTTTTCTGAACACCTGCTGTGTTCCTGGCACTGTGCAAGCATATTACACATGTTCATTTTTTACCTTAGTCTTGTGCAGTAGAGACTCTTGCCTCCAATTTTGCTCAGAGAGGCTAAATAAGTTGTCCAAAGTTAGACAGCTAACAAGCAATAGAGCTGGGATTCAAGCCCAACTTGTCCGACCCCACAGCCTGTACTCCTTCAAAAGCACCACACTATCCTCAGGGACGGCATGCCTCTGCATCAATCCTAGCTCTCTGGGTTTTACAAACAGCTCTTTAGAGGCCCAAGATGGTGATATTGTCCCTGAACCTTCACTTCTTCTAACACATAAAGCCTCTGTCAGGTGTGAAGTCCCTCTGCAGTTCTTGGGAGAATTGCAGTGTATTCTTATTATGAACAAGTGAAGCATAGGAGCTTGGGCTTGTTTACATCCAGGCAGCTTCTGGGTCAGCTGTGTGAAAGATAACATGGCATCCAGGGAGGTGCACCTCCACAATGAATGGACTTTCCGAGATGGCAAGTCTGTCACCCTCTCCAGGGAAGAGGCACTTTGTACCCTCTACATTCACTGTTCCGTGTGCAGCCCAGGGGAAACTGCCATCGCAAGACAAAGTCTGTTTATGTAACTGCAATGTGTACAACTGGGAAACTGCCATCGCAAGACAAAGTCTGTTTATATAACTGCAATGTGTACAACTTTGTACAAATTCTTAGTGGTAATTTCAACTAACATTTCTATCCAACAGAGTTTCAGTTCCTGCATTCAGCTTATGGTAGGAGAGCTATTTTTCCTCATCTGTATTACAGCCTATAATGTGTTATCTCGTAACAATGGTAGATCCCCTCTCCTTTCCTCCCCAAATCCTACCCACTAGGCTTGGGCTCCCCCCAGGTGGCTCAACAGCAGTTCCTAAAGCATGCAGGAACATGTCTGATGGTGCAAAATCATGGGTTGGAGACACACATGAGCCGTCCCCTAGGGCATCAATGAAGGATCATGGCACTAAAAGACATCTCTCACCCAACCTGGCTGCCGAATTGAAACAAACAAATGAACAAAAATTCCAGGGCCTTTATGTGTCTCCTCTGTTGGCTCTGTGGCAGCCTCTGTGAAGGAGTACCTGGATTATGCCTATTAGAACCCAAAAACCAGTCTGCTCCAGGATCAGATTTTCCATCTCCATTGGCAGTCTGACATGTTTGAAGACCTGGTTGACTTTAGATACAGTCTGTTCCCTTAGCCCAGATCTTGAGCTTTGGGCTCATTTTCAGGGCATTTTTCTGGATGGTGAGAGGTGGGGTCAGGAGTGCTAATGAGTGAGGAACCAGTGCTGGGTTCTCTGGGCAATGTGGACTCCAGGCCCAAGGCACCACGGGAACTTCTGGGCACCTGTGAGGGTCCCAGCAGTGTAACTTGACCAGGTCCTTTTTGTCATAGACAGTAAGGGACCATGGGAGGGACTTGCCACCTTCACCCCCCTCACCTGAGCTGCTCAGGATAATGTTTTTGTAAAATCTCTTCATAACTTTCAACCTTGGATGAATTATTTGGATGTTGGAAATTGGATTTGTGTGTTGAACATCTTTCAGGAGATGAGCTGTGAAATTTCTCCTTGCCACTGCTGTGGGCTGTGTGATCTGGGCAATTTGCTAATGTCTCTAGGCCACGGATAGTGTTTCATTCCACATGATCTCCAAGGTCCCTTTAAATGCTAACACTCTGTCCTCTTATAGTCTTATTATTTCAATTTTGCTAGTCACTGAACTGCTTCTGTTATCATTTATGGGGAATTATTTTTTGTTTGCCTCAGGATATATGAACTTGGACAGAAGAGTCCATAAAAAGTTAGAGAAGCTCTCTTGCTCCCTCACCCTTCCAGTTTTAGCATATGAAATGGATATTCATAAAGAATATGGATGGAGCTCTTCACTTCACAAAATATTCTGTGCCAGGCCCTAAGCTGGCCCTTTGAAGATACAAAGCCCAGTAAGACAAGGTCCCTATGCTCAAGGAGCTTACAGTTTAGTGGGGAGACAGACAAGCCGTCTAGTACAGGGCTTCTAAGAGTCAGAGGGACTGGGATAGTCAAGTATATAGGGTGCATGAGGGGGTCGTGGTCAAGGGGTGGGAAGAAGAAAAGACTTCACAGTAGAGGACAGTCTTCAGTTCATGATTGATTGATTGATTAATGTTTACTAGGTAGAGTTTGGGGAGAGACATGCCAGAAGAGCTAATAGTGTGAACAAAAACATGGAGATGTGAAGCTCCTTGGCAATATTCTGGGAATGTGAAGCAGTTTGTGTGGCTGTAGTGTGGGTTGGGAGTGAGAACAATGAGTTTAGAGAGATCATCAGGACTAGCCCATGGGGGTCCTTGAATGCTGCACAAGGGGTTCAAACTTTAGGCTATAGGTAGTGGAGAACCATGGAACGTTTTTAAGAAAGAGGGTTTGTGATTAGGTTTAGGTGTTAGATACACCACTGTTACTGCAGCTTGGAGATTGGAGGAGCAGGTTTAAAAACAAACAGAACAGTGAGGAAACAATTGCAGTAGTTCAGGGGAGAGATGAGGAGAGCTTAAATTAGAGCTCTCCACAACTGTGAAGAGGGAAGAGTGGACAGATGCCAGAACTGGAAACTGTGAGACTGGATGACACTCTCTTTTTGACTCTCACATCTATACTATGAAGCAATCAGGGAGTGATTATTATTGCCATTTTAGGAGATAACAAAACTGAAACTCAGAAAGGTTAAGTGACTTGCCCAAGTTCCCACGGCTAATAAGTGGCAGAGCCTAGGCTAGAACTCAAATTTCCTGACTCAGTATATTATTCAGGATGATGGTCCCTTGCTGCCTTTCTTCCTTGTCAGTGTGCTTAACAGATTGTTCAAGTGTCAGAGGGCGTGAGGGCCCCGTATCTAAGGAAGTGAACAACCCAGCACCTGGATGTGGGCAGCACGCTGTGACTGGGCACATGGCCCTTCACTGCCAAGGGTTCTCTCTTTCTCTCTCTGTCTTTTTAAATTAATGGACAACACATATATAGTAAAGTACATAAAGTACAACAGTCTTAAATGTATAGCTTAATAATGTTTTTTCATATGGATACATCTATATTTAACTACCACCCAGTTCAAAATATAAGATATATCTAGGAAGTGGTACCCTTCAGGTACCCAAGAGCAGGCATGCCTGTTAGAGCAGCCTTCTCTCTCACCATGCCTCTAAAGAGCTTTTGTTGGGATTGTCTTCATTCCACAACTGAGCTCTGAATTTGCTACCTCCAACAGAATGGGTTACTTCAGAAGTGTGCATGGAGGAGCAAGATCATATAGAACAACTAACTGATGAGGAGGTCAAGTTGACAGCTAATATTAGGTTTTTGTTTTTAATTTTCATATTTATCCAATTATTTAAATGATTAAATATTCAAATATACAGAAAAGTGCAGAAAACATGATTTTTTTTTTTAATAATAAAACCAGAAGAAAATACCCCTTTATTTAGGAAAATGTGCAGTTTAGCTCACATGATCAGCTGGAAAGACAATCAAAGGTACAGTTGCACTTGCTTCTTTCCTGGTTAATCTGGAACATTATTTTATTGTGTATAATGCTGTCTTGTTCACTCCCTGGTTGGCGTGTGGCTGTGTTGCATCCCCAGCTAGACCATAAGTACCTTGTGTGCAGTGACCGTGACCCACGTGTGTTCCCGTCCACCGTGGTGCTCCCCTCAGTGCTGAGTGCAGTGTAGGCCTCATCAATGTTGATTAATTTTTATTTGCTTAATTTAATTGTCACACAGTCCTTCAGGCTAATGTCAGACTTTTGGCTTATGATGAAAATTATGGTAAAGTATGCAACACTTGGAGGAAAAAACTGGAATGGAACAGGACCTTCAAATTCTCCAAATTCCTTCTGCCAAATTTAAGCCTCCTGCTCCCTGGTGGAATCCCTATGGGATCTTGAGGGCACAGACTTGCTCTATCTGACTTTTCAGAGCTACATGTTTCACTTTTGAGGGAGCTGTTTTGGGTGGCCATGGCTGTCCCCACCACATGGAGTGCCAGGTTCTAAATTTGGAGACATCTTGATAAGATTTTTCAACACTAATTGGATCCTTTATTAATCCCCCTCCTACCCCTTCTCCCAAAAAGAAACCCAAGGTGATTGTTTAAAATGGACTCCCCTCCTGCATTGTCTGCAGAGCCATGTCTTGATGTCTAGCAAAGGCTCTGGACTGTACATGGAGTTCTGCTGGGTCTCCATTTCTCTTGCCAGCATTCTCCTTTTAGTGTCACTTTCCTGCCCATGATTTCCTTCTCATTTCTCAGCATCCGCTGTATATATTGCAGGCCATTAATGCGAGCGCAGAGTCAGCCTACAACAGCTACACTTCTAGCCTTGGCTCAACAAAAATAGAATCCCTGACCTTCTCTGGCCCCAGTTCTTCTGTGATTGAAGGAACCAGAATCATTACCTGTTACCCACATGGGCAGAGGGGGTTATGGTTCTCTCTGGAGATAGAATATCCTTGTCCTGGTGGAATTAGAGAATATGTAGGCATACTTTCTTCTCATACCACACCCTGTTTTACCTTAGCCCCTTGTTAAAATGTTTTAAGTATATCTGACTGTAGCCAATGCAGCCCCATCTCCTGCTAATATACTTTAAAACATTCCATGTCCATGATTCCCAAGATCTTGAGTAGAAAAGATATTGCTAAAATCATTCCTTTTTTTTTTATCATAAGTAGAAATTTGGGTCAAGAATGTTTCTCCTCTAGTGTTTGAAAGTATAATGGGGGAAATATCTAAAAAGTGAGGTACCTCCCCTCATTGGAACCCTGTTTCATCTCTCCTTCCCCTCAGGATACCATGAAGGTAAGTAAGTTTTTGAGTCTCTCCCCACTTCTAGAACATATGAAGTATCATCCTTTAAATTTCTCAAGCTGAGCTTTGAGTCAGCCTGGGACGTCTATGCAGATCTCAAACTGAGCCTTATCTCTATTTCACACCAATCCCAAGTTTGACATTTATTTTCTTAATGGCCCAAAGGATTATCTCTAATTCATAAGGAGGTATCTCAGGTGACATCTCAGCAGGAGATATTCAGGGGTATGCAAGAGGTATGTCTATCTGACCCCTGCCAGGTGTACAGGAGAAGGAGTTAGCAAGGAGTGCCCCACTGGATAACTAGATTTAGTGCAGCCACAGTGCCCTGTGACTTTTACACTGCCATGCCCACAGCTTAGTCCCTTTAAAAGAGATGGCAGACCAGCAAGGTTCATGTCATGTGGTATTTGTTCTTGGGTCTCTTTTTGAAAGCAACTTACTAAATACACCTATAGATGAGATTTCAGACAAAAAAGAGTGCTCAGTTGATCTGGCCCAGTACACAAAGGCTCCCAAGTTGCTGCACATTAATGAAAAAGTACCTGAGGAATATAACAAACCTTAGGCCAGAGTGTCACATAGTAGGAAGTGGTATTCATGAGCATCTTTGTGGTTTTAGAACTGGTTAGAAAATCCTAACTCTCTTAGTATATGTTCACAGTTCCTCGGTTTCAAATCATTTGAAAGCACACTTCAGCATTCCTCCCAACCCACTCACCCATCTCAGAAAAGCTGAACCATCCTGTGTGTCTGAACAGGCCCCTTGGGTTATATGTTTCCATCTAGCACAAGACCCTTGCTTTGTGTCTGTGATTGGTGGTGCCCACTTCTTATTTCTGCCTAATGCCATTCTTGTGTCTTCCCTTAAGCAACTCTGCTGATGAAACAGGCCTGGCCACAGAACTCGTCTTCCTGTGGCACTGAAGGCACCTTCCACCTCCCAGTGGACACCGGGACCGAGAACCGAACTTACCAAGCATCCTCTGCGGCTTTCAGTAAATACAGTCTGTCTCCTCCTTTCCTTGTTCCCCTTGGTTGGGACTGATTTGTTTCTTAGGAAGGAAGGAAAGGGAACTTTTAAAAATGACATTTATAGTATAAACACTGTTTTAAGAGGTTCTCCTACTCATGCAAGAAATTGGCCCTCCTCATTCAGGAAAGGTCATTCTCTTTGATCATGCATGCAGCTTTGGGAGACACAAAACAGCAAAGGAGGGAGAAGGAAGTACTCACCTTGCCAACAAGTTTGATTAGGGAAGAACTGTTACTGCATTTCAGAGGAAAGGACAGAGGGTATATTTTGAAGGCCTATGGGTCTTTGGACAGAGAAGGCTCCTTTCCTAGCCCAGGGTTTCTTAACCTCGGCATTATTGACATCTGGGCCTGATAATTCTCTGTTATGGAGGCCATCCTGTGCATTGTTGGATGTTTAGCAGCATCCCTGGCCTCTACTCCATAGTAAAGGCCCATTGTGACAACCAAAAATGTCTCTAAAACTTTGCTAGGTATCCCCTGGGGGACAAAATTGCTCCCTGTATGAGAAACACCACCCTTGAGGAAGCTACACTATGGGAGCAAAGTATGTACGTGGAGTCCTCAAGGAGGACAGAAGTCAGCTGGCCAGTCAAAATTGGTCATATTCATCTGGAGGCTCAGTAACTGGTGCTGTCACCTTCACATCTGATTTTTAACACAAAATGGTTCCACTGGGGAAATGAGGATCAGTGGTTAGCAGTTAGTGGCATTTTGAGTCTGTATAAGGAAAAACTTTGTGCCCTGTTGGAGCTGTCCAGTAGAGGAATGACTGACTTTGGATGTGGTGAGTGCTTATCTTATAAGATGTGCCTGCAGAGGCTGGACAAGCCATCAGAGGGATGTTACAGACTAGGCCTGATAGTCTGTAGTTCAGTGAATTATTAATCTACTAAGTAAGTAGATTACAAGAATTCATTGTATTTTTTCAATTCTTTAAAACATCCAACGTCATTTTCTCCTTAGTTATCATTGTCCTTAGGTGTCAACATCAGCTTATATTTATACAACATTATCACCTTTTGGAGAATATGCTTTCGTAATCACCCTCTCATTTCATCTACACTACAGTTCTGTAAAGATATTTGGGTGGATTTTTCATCCCAGTTTGAAAACTGAGGCTCAGAAAGGTAATATGTCTGATGTTGTCCAACCAGTTAAGCAGCACAACTGGAAAAAGGTATCATCCAGGTTAAGATTCTGTTACTATTGTCATGAGATTGATTTTACTCTGCAAGAGAGAGATGGCAGCTATAGGGAGTTTTTCCAGATACCTCAGGTAGAATTTAATGGACATATATAAGGTTATATATGTAAATGGGCATATACATATTCTCACATCTACATATATGGATATAGATGCATATAGGCACACCTACTGTGGTGTAGCAGAAAGAGGCCTGTAGTGGAAGCCCAAAGAATTGGATTCTAGACTTGATTCTTTGTAACCTTGGATAATTCATGCCCATGTTTTAGACTTTATTTTTTCCAACTGTAAAATGAGGGGCCTAAACCATGTCATTTTTAAGGTTCTCTTTAGCTATTAGACTCCTGATTCTCTCACCTTGTCACTGTGCACTCAGTATCATCCACCCCAACAGGGACCTCCAGTCTAGCTTCCCTTGCCAGCAGCTGGCCAACTGCCTTTTCTCACATGTCTCCAGGGATGGAGTACTCATTCTTTCAGATGCAACCCTTTTCACAGTTAGAAAGTCTGAGTATTAGAAGATCTTGCCTTCTCCTGTGTTGAAATCTTCCTGAAGTTCCATCTAAATGTCCAAAGCTACATCCCACTGTCCCCTCCCAGACAGGCTGTCACAGTCGCTGGAAAGGACCAAAATGAACCCCTCTCTTAATCAAGTAATGCATAAGCCTCTACAATTTTTTAATAGAGTTGGATTGACTGACCTGCTCACACCCACAAAGGTTCCTCCTAGCATTCACATTTTGTGGCTTCTAGTGCCACAGAAAATTCAAGGCACTTTGACAAATTCAGTTCAATTTCACAAACATTTGCTAAGACTGTTTATAATTAGGTCTACCTCCTATTTATTCAGCACTCTCTTGTTCGGCTGCCAACAAGGAGACTTAGAGGTCAAGGCAAGATTCAGACATAGAGCTTTGTTTTATCCAGACACATAAATCTGATGATCAATAAACCGATTAGTCTAAAAGGCATCCATGATGTAAGGATCAATGCCTTTGAAGGTGTTAGGGGCTCTACAACTGAAAAAGATTGATGACAGTGAAGAAAGATTGAAGAGAGGGCTGAAAAGGTTTTATCTTGCTAATGTATACACTCTCTTTATTATCCTGTTTGATGGAGCCTAAAATTATGGTTAGGAACCTGAGAGAAAGAACAGGATGTCATAAACAAAGCCTTTTTTATAAGGCAGAGCTGGGACTTCTAGTGATCGAATTCCTTTTTTTTCTCATTATATTGCCTTTAGTAAAATGGGGACTCAAAGGCCAATATACCAAATATCCATGGCTGGACTAAAGAGACCTTTAACTCAGAAAGAGCTCTGGGCCTGATAAGCCCTGAACTGTGGACCCTGCTCTGCACTGATTTACTGTGCAATTTTGAGAAAGTCGCTGCCTGTCTGGGCTCCAGGTTCTTTCTCTGAAAAGAATAGGGTTGCATATAAGCTTCTAGTGTCCTTAAGGGCTACCATTCTAAAGTCTTCATTTTGTGACCTTCAGAGTTAGAATTCCTTGCAGGATGGCAGGCCTCCAGTGAGTGAAATGAGTCTGAGTTCATCTGGGTAAAATCCATGAAGTTTTTTGCAACAAGCCCAATAGCTTCTTTTACTTAGATGCACAGAGTAATAAACCCTGATTTTTGTGATACTCAAAGTAGCCCAGGTTATAGCCCCAGAGGAATTTTCTGTGTTCTTCAAGGGTATGGACAGGACCACCAGTCAGCTGTAGAAAGTCCTCTGCAATGATCTCCTCATGTGAAAGTCTTACCGAAATACTCAGAAACTTAGAATGTCAGCACTAGAAAGGCCTTCTGATATTATCTAGTCCAAGTGGAGATATTCCCTGAGAGAGGAGTTGACCTGACTCACTGATAGAACCCGGATGAGGGCCCCAGGCATTTTCTGCAGCCTCATATAAGATCCTCTGGACACAAATGATAACCTTGAGAACCACTGTGGTTAGAGGAAGTAGCAATGAGTCCTGAGTCCCTGTGAGCAGTCACTCTCTCTTTTAGCATCTATTCATTATTTCATCTGTGAAATGTTTATGTTGGTTTTAATGATCTCTAAGATCTCTTCTAGCTCTGCAATTCTGCTTCTCCCATCTCAGTTGTCTGGACAGACAAGCAAGGCCTTGTTCTGCAGCATCATCTCTTCGGCTGCCAAGGGTGTTTTGGCTACTGATTTGTATTCTGAGTATGTGTGTGTCTCATTTCATAACATGAAGAAAGGGAAACATTCTCAGACAAGGTTATTCTTAGATGTGAAAACCAAATTCTACTGCAGTTTCTTGGAGCCTTTTGGTTTTACTCAGATGGATAGTCTCAACACTTTGTAATATGCTTGTCCATGTGGCATAGAGGGGGTAGTGCGGCTTCCCCAGGGAAGATAAAAATTCCAGAGCACCTTCTCTAGGAGCATAAAGGAAAGTCGTCAGCATCGTTGGCTTGTTAACTTTAAAGAACCTATAAATCATGGCATTTTAACCACAAAATTTTAGAATCTTAGAATCCTGGAGTTTGTGTTTCAAATTGGAACAGACCATAGTAGTCTCAGTTTAACTTCCTATCTCCTATAGTCTTTCAGACCAGTCTCTGCTTGCATACCCCCAGGATAGTAAACTTAGTCTCTGTCTGTATAGTGAGAGAGAAAAAATAATAGCTAACCTTTCTGAAGTGCTTTAATATGTCAGGCATTGTTCTAAGTACTTTACACTTATTAATTAATGTATTTATCACAGGAATCCTATGAAATGGGTACTATTACTCTCCCCATGTTACAGATGAGGAGGCTAAAATATTCTGTAGCTGTTAAGAAGAGAGCTGAAGTTTGGACCCAGGCAGTCATTCTGTCTCCAGATTGCTCATAAACACTACTCTGTGCTATAGAGTTTTCAGAGACAGGCATCTTCTGATCAGTGGTATCCCGTTTTCTTGCATAGAAAAGAGATGCTCTCTACTCTGGCAGGACTCTCCAAACCTTGTTTTATTCCTTTAAATCAGGGGCTGACCAACTTTCCTGTAAAGAGACAGGTGGCAAATATTTTAGGCTTTTCAGGGCATATGGTCTCTGTCCTAACTACCATTGTAGCAGGAAAGTAGCTGTAATCAAAATGTAATTGAATAGGCATGGCCATGTTACAGTAAAAATTTACCAAAACAAGTTGCAATTACAAAAACGACAGGCTAAAGTTTGCTTGTGTTAATAGTATGAAAGATTCTGTGGTAAAATAAATTTGGGAAATACATTCTCCTACATATCCCTGTCTTAGAGATTCATAGTTCACCCTATCATTTTAAAAACTTCTCAGGGTTATGGAATACAAAAAAAACCCCAAACCTATTTATCTCTATTTTACAATTGCTACTTTACAAACTTATGGGACCATAGAACTCTTCATTTTTATCCTTTCTTTTCCTTTTTCTTTTGGCAAAAGAACTATTACGATCCCTTGGAATTGATAGTCTGTTGTACACATTTGGGACATGCCCAGCCTGAGAACCCCCTTTGTTTTATAGATAGGTAAACTGTCTGCAAGATAAAATACCATTGGACAGCTCCTTCTAGATTCTACAAACCTAGAATCCCTGTCTTCCCTCACAGTATCTGCTTTTCCTCCTATGACCACACCTCATAATTAGCTCCGTCATCTAGAAACTTTGAGGAATCTGCTCTAGACTTCTCTCTCAACTGATTCCCACTCCCACTTCCAGTTAGTTTCTACTTCTTTTCAGTGCTACCCTCTCTTTAATGTATCCTTTCCACTCCATCCTCGCTGCTACTTATTTCCCAAGCATATTTGAACACAAAACCAGTTTTTCATGGAACAAACAATGGATCTACAAGTGGAAAAATAAATGACATGATTCCAGGGGAGAAGACAGGACACCTTTTGTGGCAACTGAACAGCAGCTCTCATCTCCTGAGTCATCAAGGGCAGGGGGGGCACCAAGACAAAGCTGTGATATGGACTGAGAAATGTGTGGCCATGTGGTAGCCTGCTTTTACTTGGGGTTAGAGTAAAAGAGACCCAGGATCTTTAGAACCATAGAGTTTTAGTTTAGGAAGAGATCTTCATTCTTAGCCTCCTGGTTTTACAAAATAAGAGACCAAGGCCTACAGAATTGGCAGTTGTCACTGCAAAATTAGGGGAAAGCCAGGACTGAAGCCTAGAATTCTTCTCTTCCAACAAAGCACCATCTCTACTTTGCCCTCAGTCCCTTCTTACAGAAACAGCACCCTGGAGCTGAAAGAGTCCTTGGTAAGTGTCTTGTAGGTGAAAGAGCTGTAGCCCAGAGAGGTTCAGTGATATCAACCAGACCCACCCAGGATGGGACCACAGGGAAGAAGCCTCCCCAGCACCTCCCCACTGGGACTTCAAGGCCAAGGTCCCTTCAACTCAGAAAGAAGAGTCTTTAGGAGAAGTTCCTAAAAAGATTTGCCCTTTCTGAGCCCTAGGATCCCCTGTGTAAAGTGAAAGGGTTGGGGTTACTTAATGACTGCTTGGGTTTCATAGAATGATTCCATTTTGTGATTCGATAAGGACACAGCCTTGTCTCTTAGTGACTCATGTTTCAAGTTTTTCCCGTGAATATAGTATCTGACTCTTTTCCAGAGGATTCAAAGGCAGCACAATTTATTTACATAGCCAGTTGTGAGCTTCTTGGGGCCTGACTTCTCAGCTCCAGTTTTTATCCATCCTGCTGAGTTGCAGACATGGCCAGAGTTCCAGGTCTATAGGAATCTTTGTGATCCCTGACTTCAGGACTTTCAGGCAGAAGTGGCCCTCCCCCAAGCACCAGGAGGGGAGGAAAAGCCAGCTCTGTAAAGTTTTTCAACATCCCAGAAGAGCGGATCTCTAAATGGCATTTTGTTACAGGGCTTTCACTTCAAACTTGGTGGGGAAGAGGGGGAACATGATGGAGGGAAGTCCAAAAAGGGAGAGAGATATATGGAACAAAAGAAGTAGAGTGAGAGTCAGGGGGTAAGCAAGACAGAGAAGGACAGAAAGCAGCAGAAGATACCCTGGATACAGAGTGAGGAGATAGGAAAGCAAGAAGATAGAGAGCAGCAATAAAGAGTGAATAGGTTGAGGGGCTTCCATCTGTGTGCACCTGCCTCAAACACCTCAGAATTCCAGGCTGTCAGAGCTGAAAGGGTCCCATCTGTTTCCAGTGTCTTATTTTATAGATGAGAGCCCCGAGACTCAGAGAAATAAAAGATGTCCAGAATCATACATGCAGCCCTGTGCACCAGGACTGAGGGAGCTGCCTCTGGGGCCAGGGCTCTCTGGGTGGAGCCCTATTCTCTGTTCTCATCTGTGTTTCCAGCCTGGATTCAGCCCATCCTTGTCTGGAAAGTCGTGACTGGGACCTGCTGCCTTCTAGCAATGCTGTTCTGCCAACTAACTGGAAGTTTCTCTTATTGCCTTGGTACAGGATATACTGCAGGGACACCATACAAGGTCCCACCAACCCAGAGTAATACTGCTCCGCCCCCCTACTCCCCATCACCCAACCCCTATCAGACGGCCATGTATCCAATCAGAAGTGCCTACCCTCAGCAGAATCTGTATGCCCAGGTAGGTACATAAGGCCCACCTCTTCTGGAGGTAGAAGAGCCTCCAGCCTGGGTGGTGTGTGGGTTAGAGGGAAGAAGAGTTCATGGCTCTGGCCAGCCATCACTGTTGTATCATTGAAGCAATAGCCCTGTAGTCTGCTCACTCCCCCAGAGGGGTGAGGCACAAAGTCATTTAGATTAACAGAGCCCAGAATGTCAGAGGGGCAAGGGCCCTTAGAAATCATCTAGCTCAACTCAAGTGGGGAAGCTGAGAACTAGAGGGGAATGACTTGTCCAAGGTCACACCAGTGCTCTGTTGGTTGAGACAGGATGAGACCCCATATATCTGGTCTTCTCTCACTAACTCCTACATCTACTCTTCCTTGAAAGTCTCTGAGCTGAGTGGGGAGGAGAAAAGTGCCCAAGCTCTTCACCAGTGCACTCTGTGACCTTGGGTGAATTATTCTCTTTCTGTGCCTTATTGTCCCCTTCTGGCCCCCTTCAACGAGGGAATGTGTACACTCTGAGGGGATTGGCATGAGACAGGAACTATAGGAAACCAGCATACCCATGGAGTGACAATTCTATGTGAGGTGTTAAGTGGTGAGGAGAAGACTTTTAGTTTAAAAAACACCTATATTGTAGACTAGAATGCCAAACTTTTTTTTTTTTTTCCTTTTTGTCTTTTTTCGTGACCGGTAACGGGATCGCAACCCTCGGTGTGGTGCCCGCACTGCGCTCAACCAGTGAGCGGACCGGTCTCTATATGGGATCCGAACCCTCGGCGGGAGTGCCACACTCTACCGAGTGCGCCACCGGGCCGGCCCTAGAATGCCAAACTTTTAAAAAATAAAACAGGAGGCTTGAGATCAATTTTTCTCATTTATAGTAGACTGCTCTGGACTATGCTCTCAAACCTCTGGGGTTAAAAACCCACATTCTGAGGTTCATGTCATTATTGAGTAGAAACATTTGAGAATTTCTAGATAAAGATGATCTCAGAGGCCCCCTGTCTACTTTCCCCAGAGGTCAGCAGGAAGCACACATGTATGTGATCCAGGTAGTGGGAAGCCACTCCAGAGTCTCCATCCTCACCTTTTTCTCTAAAAGGAAATAGATAGTAAGAGACATCCTGGGAAATCCTATCCATTTGTGACATTTTTTCAGGATGTAAAATGCCAGCATTTGTACCAGTGTGATAATACTACTACTAATCCTTCAGTGTTATATGCACAGTGCTCTAGCGTTCACATGCTTTGTACCTAATTAATTGTAGCCCCTACCTTTAAGTTTTAGGTAGCTTATAAAAATTCATTGCAATGAGATACAAACATTTTAAAATGCTAAGACCAGGGTTGAGAGAATAAAGCTCTTATCCCATTAGACCATAATAGCAGCCCTTGGAGCAAGGTGGGACAGGGTTAGGGTCTTATGTTTTAGACCAGAAGCTGAGCCCAGCACGGAACTAAGACAGAAGCAGAGGCCTTAGTAAGACAGAAGGACTGGGGCCCAGTCCTTGTGTACCTGAGCCAGTGGTTCTCTTATCCAATCCCTTAGGGTCCTGGCAGAACAGAATTCAACTCCCCTTCCCTCCCCTCTCTTCTTTTCCATGTCCCGCCCCATTTCTCCAAAAGCCTGTGTGACCTCAGCCTCTTTCCCCTAGGGAGCCTACTACACACAGCCAGTGTATGCTGCCCAGCCCCATGTCATCCACCACACCACGGTCGTCCAGCCCAACAGCATTCCCTCTGCCATCTACCCGGCACCTGTTGCTGCCCCCAGGACCAACGGCGTGGCCATGGGCATGGTGGCAGGCACCACCATGGCGATGTCAGCAGGTAAGGGCACTTTCTGCATCAGCATCCCTTTCCTCCAGGGACTCAGGACAGAGCAGAGAACACAGTCACGGAATCAAGTGTAGCATAGCATGCAAAATCCTGTGCCGGAGGTGCCAGGAATCCAGAGGAAGGACCCTCTAAGTCTGTCTGCAGAGATGAGGAAGATTTCACCCAGAAAGGCATATTGAACTAGGCCTTAAAGGGTGAACAGAAGCTAAACAGAGAGGTGAAAGAGGGAAGGGCAGCGCAGGCAGAAAGAACAAGAGGATGGCATGTTTACAGAATGGAGATGGTTCAAGGCACGTTATGAAATAAGGGTATGAAGTTGGAAGGGTGGCTGGAGCAGTTGGCAAGGATAAGATGGTGAGAAGTCTTAAATACCTTTAGGTAACAGCTAGCAAAGGAGTTTAAGCAGGAAGGGGTAGGGTTGGGTTTAAACATTCTCTCTGGCTGCCGGGGAGAGGCAGGATTAGAAGGGGAGAGGCTGGCAGCAAGTAGGTCAGTAAGGAGGCTGTCACTGTACTTGAGGGGAGAGATGATGACGTGAGGATTCTGGTAGCAGCAGGGGACCCAGAAATGAGGGCGCAAGGGCAGTGTTCCTTAGCAGGCAGGAGCTTAAGGACCTGTCCGGTAATTAATTGTAAGGGTGAGAGAAGCAGGCATCCCTGAGGAACCCATTCCCATTTCTGGCTTATGCCAGAAATCAGACCAGAGCGCTGCTCTTAAGGAACCTTGGAGATGGCGGTGGGAGAGCAGGTTTTGGGAAGTCTTTGGATAAGTTGACACCTAGGGAGAAATATGGGCATTCCGATGAAGAATGGGAGAGGACAAGAGGGCTACGAGTGACCTAACTTCTAAGGAACCAGCTAGGTCACCATCTGAGGGAAGAGGGTATGAGGGGTAGAGTGGGTGTTTGGATTATATCCTGCCCCTAATGTAAGGGGATTCTTGAGGCCTCTCACTTCCAGATCCAGCAAGCAAGCTATTGGGTATCTGCTCATGCCAGCCTTGTTCAGTCCTGGGGACCAGACATTGATAGATCAGAACAGAGCCCTCCCTTTAAGGAACACCCAGGTCAGGGTGGGAAATTTAATCATGTACCCCAACAGTTACTACTCAGTGTGATGTTTGTGCAGTAAGAGCAGCACACAAAGAAAAGTAAAAGGAGGTCTCCAAACAATGGTGATTGACTCTGTCCTCAAGCATCAAAAGAGGTTCCCTTCAGGAGTGAAGACTGGCAAGGTGGAGAAAGTTCCAGGCAGGCAAGATATGTGACTGAGGCAGGGGGAGCAGCTGTGCAAAAGACCATGCTTCACCCTCTTCATGCCTGTGCCCTGGTACAGCCTCGTTAGGTATACTCTTCTCTCTCTGGATGCTCAGGTACCCTGCTGACTACACCCCAGCACACCGCGATTGGGGCACACCCTGTCTCCATGCCAACCTACAGGGCCCAAGGAACCCCTGCATACAGCTACGTGCCCCCGCACTGGTAAAGCCTGCAGCCCATCCAAGTGAGTGGGGCCAGGGTGAGATAAGTGGGAGGGGGACACATACAGGAACCACCTCCAAGCCCCTAGTTTGAGTCTGGAGCACAGGTGTCAGAAGGGGCAGGTGGCAGTTATCAGTTGCTTTCTTGCTCCAAGGGCCATAATATCACTCTTTCTAATCACTATCACTTTATGTATGTTATTTTGTAAACCTTACAGTAGCTCTGTGAACTATCTATTTTACAGATAAATATGTAGTTCAGCACAACTTAGCCAGTAAAAATTGAGCTGGGACCTGAACTGCAGTCCTCTAGTACTACATTCTGTTCTCTTTACCTTATGGTCTCTAGACTTCTTTAATTCTGGGTCCCATTTTTGAAATGAAATCTTACCTAAGTCAGATGTTAGCTCTGGTTGGAGCCAGGTGGAGTCTTTGGGCCAACTCCAACCACCAGCTTCCTCACTGCCCGTGGCAGCTCCTGCGCTGGTGCCACTGAGCCGCAGTGCTCCAGGGATGTCACTTTGAAATCCTCTCTCCTGCCACATCACCTGTGCTGCACTCCGCCTCCTCCAGGGGCTCTTAGCACTAGAGCACTACTTCTGTGGGTGGGAAGCAAGCAGCTCCACTAGAAAGGCACAGAGGGCTCCATTTAGGGCTTCCAAGTCAAGAGGAGGAGTCCAGAGGCCTCCTGAAGTGGCCTCTGGAATATCACTATGGCTAATGGCTTTCCCCTTCCTCCCCCAGATCTGGAGTCACACATTGTATGCAACTACTCAAGTCTTACACCGGTGCTGGAGCAGTTCCCTAGCAGCACCACCTCTATTTGCAAGAAGAAACAACAGAAATGCAAGGGTCACTTTATGCATCTTTAATGGTTTTGGTTTTTATTTTTGGTTTTTGTAAAAGCTGCTTTTTTTCTAATCTCCTGCCTCTCCCCCACTATCCCCCACTTAGCCGCTCCCCTTCCAGCTCTACCCCCTCCTCCCACCTGACCAGGCCAGGTCTTCTCTGCTCTTCTTCTTTCTTCCCAAGCATCCTATCCCTGGGGATTCCAGTCTAGTGGTAAGCAGAGAGTGGGGTTTATTGCAGTGGTCATCTGAAGGCTCAACTTCATTTTAAGAACATAAACAGATGTGGCCCTCAGGTCCAGGGTGGGAACTCAGAGCTGTTGAGCAGGCCACATCTCTGGGGGATTGTTCCTTTTTTTGTTTTTTCTTAAGCAACATTAATTCAGGACATTACCATGTCCTGATACAAATGAAGTGTCTTCTGAGAACCATTACAACAGACCAAGAAGAAAACCACCTGATTATGTAGGAGTGTTATTAGCAGCTTAATACCCCAGGCAAAGAACTTGGGGAAACCGGAGTCTGTCTTTGGGAGATTTTGGGGGAGGGAGGGCACTGTGGGGAAGGAGAGGGAAGAAGGGGAGAGGTGCTTGCCTGATGGCTTTGATTTGAAAAGTCTCTGGCCAAATTGTCCGGACCTGGACCTTCTGATTTGCACAGTGATGTTAACTGACCTGGCACTTCCTCAAAAGGTGATTTTGACCTCAGACCTGCCAAGCAGCTGCAGGGTGGTGGGATCCTAGCATCCAGAGGCCTTGGAAGGCCAGGTACCCTGTGTAATACAGACCTCAGCCTCTGAGCCCTCCTGGGCCCACTCTGATGAGGAGCTTCCTCCTGATTAGAGTGGGAAGCTATGGCATGTCTCTCTTTCCCTTCTGCCTTTCCCAGTGCCAGGGCTCACCCGTCTGTCTGTGAGACTGGCAGGCAGGTTACCTTGTGCCATTCATGGCCAAAGTGAAGGAACCACATTCCAGGTCTCTAAAGGTCAGGATAGTGAAGGAAAAGCAATAGCAATAAACATTTCATAGACTCATGGAACTGAAGGGACCTTAGCAATCATCTCATCCATTCCCTTATTTGACAGATGAGGAAACTGAGGCCCAGAGAAGAGGAAAGGGCTTCCCTAAACCTCGCAGTAAATTAGCATTAAATGCAGGCTTCCTACCTAGTGGATGTTGCCTAGAAAAATTTACATAGGGATGGGTTGGCTTGGTTTTGTAAAAATTAAGTCAGCAGCACTCATACCTGGTGAGCTCTGGAGTGGTCTCTGGGCTCTTGTTTCTGCTCTTTTCCTCCAAGGACTCCAAAGGTGGGGGTTGAAGACTGGGCAGAGGCCACTTGGGGGCAGATGGCCGGAACAGAAATTAGAAATGAAGAAATAGCATTTGGAAATTCTGTGAAGACATCTGGAACTTTTGTCCTGTACCTGACTCCATCTCTAGGAAAAGGAGCAGGTGGGCTGGCTGAAAAGGAGAGGCCATGTGTTTAGGACAGTAGCCCCTCATCCTGAGAGGAGAGAGAGGAAAAAAGTGGGAGCCATGAGGAGAGAAGGACAAGGATGAGGCCCAGGAGACACAAGCTCATCTGGGAGAAGAGGGAACCCTGGGACAAGGACACCCCTGCTAGTCTCAGCCAGGAGCCTGGATTGCCCAGCACTGCTCTCCTGCACCCAGCGCTTGGCTGGGCCAGCAGCCCCTCTGGGGTGGGGCAGGAACATTTTAATGTACAAAATGGGATCACTGACAACATTTGGGACTTATAAATAACTATTTTTATTTTAAATTCATGCATACTTGGATATACCCCTCCCCCTCCATCCCATATCTCCCTAAAGGAGGAAAAACATCAAGAAACCCTTGGTCCTTCCTGAGGAAGGACCTCAGAAGCTGTCTTTTGGGGGCCTACCCTCCTGGCCTTCCAGGGAATTTCAGGACCAGTAAGAAAAAAATCCAGCTGTTCTAAAGGGTCTGTTCTGGGGTGCTGAGGAGGTTTCATTTTAAAATTTCCAGTGTTAATTTTTTTTTTTTTTTTTGCAAATACCTTCTCCCACCCTCTTTGATTCTGTAAAGGTGGGTGAAGGTTGTTCTAGATTATGTCATACGTGTTTGAAAAATGCCAAAATAATAATAATGATAATAATAATAGGAAACCTTTGCATTTGTCAGGTGCTTCATAGATTTCAAAGCACTTCACAGCCTTTAATTTACCGGTCCTGAGAGAGAGACAGGGTCAAAGATATTACACCCATTTGACAAATGAAGAAACAGGTTATAGAAGGAGATGGAATGAGGCCAAAATGTGCAGAATGTTGGCATCCTGACAGGCTTCCTGGCACCCTGCTGCCTCCAGGTGGGCTAGGGTGGAACTACAAAGAGGGGGGAAAAAAGGAGAAAACCTAGAAATGACCTTGTAACTTTTGTTATTTCTATACCAGTGAGTAAAAACTAACATCTGTACCTTGCAGTTCGCAGAGCTTAACATACATCATCTGGTTTAACCCTGTGAAATAGAGATTATTCCTCCCATGAGATCCACGAGGAAACAGGTTCAGAAAATTAAAGTGACTTCCTAATAAGTGACAGAGCCACTTCACTCCCAGGCTGTCTGCTATCTCTTTCCCCTCCAGTCTGACCTACACACAGGCTCACATACTGAAGCGTATGTGTGCATCTATGCTCTGCACCCTGTCTTAGCCCCTGATGTGTAATTCAAGATCAAAGGGAGGCCCCAAGGTGAAAATAAGGTGCTGAGAGGCTGTGGTCTGGAAGAACCCAGGCACAGCACCCCTTTTTCAGTATGAGCACCAGAGCTCCAGTTCAGCTGGCCTCACCCTCTTGCTTTGACGGAGATCCACAAGCCTGGCCAAGCTTGGGGAGTCACTGCAAAGGGACTGAGCCCAGGAGAGCAGAGGCAGTCATGTACCTCTGGTAGGATGAGCACAGCTCCTGGTAAGGTCACAGGCATCTGGTGGGAGGTACCGTAGGTATCAGTCAAAGATTCTGGATGGCCCAGTGATCAAGCTGGACAGAAGGTCAGAGCTGGAAAGACCCTCTCATTATAGGAAGGTAGGTAAGCCAGAGAGGAGGACAAGGGATGTGCCCATGTGACATACCTGTAGTGTTGGTACCAGTATGCAAACCCACATCACTGCCTCTCCTCCGGTCTAACACCTTGGTGGCCAGGGTCATGGGTAAAGGTGGTAAAAGTCACCAACCAACCCCTCTTGGCTTCATCCCTTGCTATCTAACTCCCTCTCCTCACCAGCCTAGGCCCAGGAAGTTTGAGTCTGGAAGCTGCATTGCCCCCAAATAGTGAAAACTTGAAACAATCTTTTGCCACATTTTGAAAAAAAATACATAATTTCTTCCCCATGAGATAGGGCAGTTTCTGTTCTTTCTCTTTCTCAGCTGGCAGTGACCCTAAAGTGTACATTCCCTTCCCTAAATATTCAGTAGGGACACGGACACACACACACACACACACAGCTGTTTTGGTATGCAAAGCACTTTGCCAAAATCTCCATTTTATAGATGGAAAATCTAAGGCTCAGAAGGCTTAAGAGACTTGCCAAAGGTCACATGGCTCATAAATGAGAGCCAAGATTTGAACTCTTCAAATTCTCTGCTCTTTCTGTTGCCACCTGCTGGGTCTCTGAGTGGCAAGCATGAAGAAGGGAGGGGCTACCTGTCTGTCCCCAAACAGAGGAAGACTTTATGGAGACCCGGGAAGGTCAGTCCCCTCAGCTGAGCAGATTTTTATGAACTTCTACTTTGGGCCAGAACCTGGGCCCTGGAGACCCAGAGGCATATCCAGCTGGCAGCACAGGGAGGATGAGAATTTGCTGCAAAAGGCCTAACTTGAACAAAACATTTTGGGGGTCACGATGCCCAGGACTGAAGACATGTTCAAGGACAGCACTAGGCTTCTTTCTATTGAAAGACCAATGTCCCTGGGAAGACTGCACACCCTCACTTTCTGACCCCTGAGAGACTGCCCACTGTCCAGACCCAAAGAATTGGCACTTCAGGGGGACCTGGTGTAGTCTTGAATGGCCAAAAGCATATCTGGACTGAAGTCCTTGGGCTTGCTTTTCCCGTGGGAGGAACCAGTACCTAGAGACAGAGCAAGGAGGCTCCATACATCCTGATCCTTACCCTTGGCCACCCAGATTGTTCCACAGAGGGACTGCTTTGTCCTGAATGGCGTTCAGAAACAATTCACACGGAGCATAAAAGTAGGACAGGCCCCTTAGTCACCAAGTTCTGGCATCCTCATGCAGACAGGACTCATGTGGGGTCCCAGCGAGGCACTGGCTGAGCCAGGCCTGGAGCCTTGCATATCAGATATCAAATTCCTTGGTTCTGCTCTGGTCAGATGGGACAGGCCCTACTCTGGGCCCTGTGGTCTTCATCATAGCATTCTGGCTGGATCGGTCATTTCTATATCACCATGCCTCTTCCTCAACTGCAGTTGAGTGAAAATATGTGGACGCTCTGCTTTTCCATCCTGTATTCCACCATGTCACTACTGGGTGTGTGGCCCCCAGCTGCTTGCCAAGATTGGAAATCCAGAGAGGGGCAGGTTGGGCAGTGGAGTGGCCAAGTAGGAAGCAGGCTTCAGGCTAGAGTGCAGCCCCTGGGGAGTCCAGGTGCCACCCATCTCTGAAAGCAGGATCACCGTGGAAGAAACCCAGCTAGGTTAACTGATCAGATTCCATACCTGAGCCTCTGAGAGCTCAGGCTTTGGTGGGCATGCCAGGCTGGTTGCAGGGTTTGCCCTTTACTTATCCATGTCCCCCTCTCCTAGAAAACTTCTTGTTTCTGAAATTAGCCATTACCTGGATACAGGGCCCAACCTGCAAAATTCCTGGCAGGCCAGTTTCAACATTCCATGGCCAACCCTGCCTGAGCCAGACTTGGGTACCATGCCCTCAGTTTCTCCAGAGGTATTTCCTGTCTTTCATGCTGTTGAGTCTATCTCCCAGAGGCCAACTGAGGAACCCAGGAGTTGGGACTGACTGCCACAAAGCCAGAAGGGGACATGACATCACTTGCTTTCCTGTGGCTGTGATATCCTTGTTAGGGCAGTGAGGCCCTATACCCATTCCAGCCCCTGGTAGAGGGGGGATTTTCCTTTCTGTAGAGAATAGATATAACAACTTCGCAGATAAGTACCAGCCCAAATGGAACCAAATGGTGACAGCACCTTTGGGCCTGACCCCAGCAAGACCAGCATCTCCAGGCTCCAGCATTCTTCCTTATGCCCAAGAGAGTCAAGGAGAGAGTGGACTGGCCCAGAGACCTCCTTGGGTCAGCCAGATTGTCTGGATCAATGGTGCGACTCAAGCTCTTCCTTACCCTAGAGGAGGTAAGGACAGGCCTCTAGCAACTTGGAGTTGTCTGCAGTGATCTTTAAAGGTTCAAAGGCCTGTCCGCAACCTGACTTCAAGGCATCTGCATCCCTGTTTCATATCACATGACAGAGAAACCTGTTCTCATGGCATGTAACATCCCTGTGAAGAGAGCGTTGTATATGATTTTGTATTTTTTAATTTTTAATCTACAGGTTGGAATCTAATTTTTAAATTTTATTGGAACTCACATTTTAAAAATAAAAACATTTAAAATAATAATAGTAATAATAATAATAAACCTTTGACCAGTGTCTTCCAAGTAGTTTGATCAAAGAATTTATAGGTGTTTTGAAAACACAGCCTGGAGTGTAAAGATTGGCAATCCCCATGGCCTCGCTTGTGTGTATGAAGTATAAATCTGGTTTTGTTTTGTTGTTTTGGATTCTTCTGGGGTTTTGTTTCATTTTGTTTTGAAGACCAGATAGTGATCACTCTGAAAAATTGAAGCCAAGAACTTGTAACTATAATATTTACTGTAAGCTGTAGAACATTCAATAACTTAAAAAAAAGTTTCCACAAAAAAAAAAATTGAAGCCAAGAACTTGTAACTATAATATTTACTGTAAGCTGTAGAACATTCAATAACTATTAAAAAAAAGTTTCCACAAAAAAAAAAAAGAAAAGAAAAGTCCTAGGTGGCCAGACTGAGTGGTTCTTGGGGAAGGGAGGCACAGAAGGCCAGAAGACCACCTCCTGGGCCAGGCCACAAGTTGATTCTAATAGCAGACACAGCAGGGGGACCTACCCTCAAGGTCTCACAGTTGATGGGACCTATGAAGTGGCTACTTCAGCACCTGGACTAAGTTGTGTGATACAGGATCCCAGTGAAGCCAGTAAGACCTGATATCAATTGGGTGCCTACCATGTGGCTGGTGCTTGCTGCTCACTTTATGCTTGTTTATAACTTCTGTAATCTTCGTAATACAATGTGAGGTAAGCCCTATTGGCCCCATCGTAGACGGGGGAGTTAAGGAGGGTAAGTACCTTGGCCAAGTTTACAGAGCTGGTGAAGGGCAGGGCTGGAACTCGCAGTCTGGCTCCAGAGCCCAGAAGCTCCCTGTTCTCCTGCCCATCCCTGAGGAGGCAAGCCCTGGGCTTTCTTAAAGGGTGGATTTGTCAGATGGGAAGCCAAGGGGGCTTAGTGGTTTGTAGTTACAGAAGAAGGACAGTTGAGGGAGGCCATGTGGCTTCCACTCAAAGTCATTGAGTGCTGTCAGTTTCACCTCCTAGGCTTCTGAATCTCTTGTCTCCCCTCTGGGCAAAGCCACTGCCCTAGTCCAGGCCCAAGCTTCTATCCCTGGGTCATCTGTCCACCAATCCCTCCAGGGTCTGGCCCCTACAGTTCATGCTCCATGAGCGCATAGCTGTACCTCCAAAAATTCTACCTCAACTGGATAGAAAAGAGGCCAAGCAACTTGGCTCACACTGCAGCTGGAATTAAAACTCAGGACTCTACTCTCCAATGCTTCCCACCAAACCTCACCCTGTGCCTCAGTGGCACCCTACCCAGCCTCCTCTCCTGTCCTTGACCCAAATTGAAACCCATCTATGGGAGCGGGGGCATACCTCTGGCCACAGGCGTTGCTGGTGCTGCATTATGGCAGTTTCTCCAGGGCAGGAAGGAATTTTTTCCCAGGGGCTCAGCTCTAGGTTACAGTGGCAGAGCTGAGGGTCCAGAGCAGGCAGGGAGGCAGAGACCTGGGCCTCAGCCCCTACCATTCTGGCCCATGGGGGTTGGGGGGAGCAGAGTGAGAGGTCAAGCTCAGAACTCTCCCTCAGTAGTCAGCCCAGAGCCCCACCCTGTCCTCCAGCTCCCACCTCTGCCAGTGGCCTGGGCCTATCTCAAGAGCTGGCAAGGCTGCAGGAATTTGTGGGGTGGGTGGAGAGATGGCCAAGCCAGGAAAGCTTGCAGGTGAGGGTGGGGATCCTGGAGACCAAGGACATCAGACACACCCCCTACGCGATCCTTCATCTCTTCATCCTACTCTTGTGACCTAACTTCAACACCCCAAGGGACAGGTGAAGAAACTGAGACCAGGGCCATACGTTTTGGCAAGCAAAATATTGGCGAGGGGGTTCTGGAGGGGAGAACAGAGCTTAATGTGGTGGGGGTATCCTTACTCAGCCTGGGAAACCCGGACCCAGCCTCGGTCCCCATCCTGGCTCCCATCTGAATGTGCCTCTCCCGGGTTGGGGAGAGAATCTGGAGACCATGGTCCAAACTTCCCCAGGAGAAGGAGGCCAAGGCCAGAGTGGGTAGAACCCAGCCTGACCCATTCACCCCAACCTAGTGTGCCATCAAAGTTCTGGGCGAAGTGGGGTTGGTTGGTTGGCTGGCTGAGGGACAGCCAAGTTTGACAGCTGGCAAACAGGGACTCCAAGCACATCCCAGCAGTCCCATCCCAGTGAACATTTCCTTGGGTGCACTGGTGATGCCCACTAGTCCCCTACTAGGGACTAGACTTTGGCAATCTTTGTTCCATAAAACTCTTCCTGATGTCCAGCCTCCCTGTCTCCTTCCTTCCTCTCTACTAGCACAGGTGAAACATTGTCTCCTGGGTCCTCAGAGGCGCCCCTTTTTCCTGCCCACCTGAGAAACCCCAGAGAAAGGAGCCCATGCACTATGTACTTAGGGAGAAGCAGGGAAAGGTCAAATCTCAAAGCCTAGCCTATACCCAGGGTGGGAGTTTTTCTCTTCAGCTGCTAGGCCAGCCCGCCACCTTGGCTCTGCCCAAGAGACAGGCCTCCTGCAGTCCCAGCATGGCCACCCCATGCCCTCTGCAGGCTGGCCTCCCCCACACCTCCCCAGTTCCATCCAGTGTCACTTTCTTTCTAGTTCAGACTTTGAGGGAAAGGGCATTAGCATTCAAATGTGTTGTCCTCTTCCATCTTTAAACGTACAAAACACCAATAAAATCCCAAATTAAAACCCCATCTCTCTCCAGAACCAAAGGCCCCACTAGCCATAGCTTCTGCTGGGAGCTTTCTCCCTCAATCACTTGGACCTGGCTCTGCTCTTGCCACTCCCTTGAGCTGACGCCCATCAAGTCTCTGTCCACTCACCAGGGCATGTGGCAGTCCTCCTGACCCTGCAGCGGCACCTGGCCTTGCAGCCCACACCCTCCTCACACCTGCGCCCTCCTCTGGCTGCCAGGACACTGCTCTCTCCTGGTTTTCTTCCCCTCCCCGGCAGTGCTTTCTCTGCCTTACCCCGGAGCAGCCCAGAGATCTTCCCTGGGCCCTTTCCCTGGAACAGGTTCCCTCCCAGCCCAGTCCTGCCATAAATGCCCACCTGAGTGCTTGGAGATATTCTTGTCACCCAGGTCTGTCACCTAAGATCTCCAGGCCTTCACATCCAGATGCCTCAGGACACACCCATGGCTGTGTCCCAGGCATCCCCAGGACTGCTCCTCCTGTTGCCCAGCTGGTCCTAATCCCTTGACCCACATCCCATTACTGAGCCCTAGCAGCTCTGCCCTAGGAATCTCTCGGATCCACCTGTTTCTCTCCATCTTGCCTGGACAGCTGCAACCGTTTTCTCATGCTACCCCTGCTCCTGTGGCTCCTCCACACTAGCCAAAAGGGAGCTGACAAATCATGATTTTCCCCTTCCTAAATGCTTTGGAGTCTCCTTGGCATGAGACCCACGTGGCCAGCCTCTCCAGATGTCTGGCCTTTACACATGCTCTCCCCTCTCTGTGGAACACATTCCCCCTTCCCACGTTCTCCAGCCCCCAATATGTTTTCCTTACCCCCATTCATCTCTCAGGCACCACATGGCTGTTGCTTCCTCTGGAACTGCATTGTCCAGTACGGTAGCCACTGGCCCCATGTGGCTATTGAGCCCTTGAAATATGTTAGTTCATACTTAGATGTATAAAATACACACCACCCCATACTGGCCAGCCACCAAAAAATACATATACACACCAGATTTCAAAGCAAAAAGAACCCCCCAGAAACAGTCCATTCATAATTTTTACTTTGATTTTATACTAAAAAAAAAAATACTTTGGATATACTGGGTTAAAATATATATTATCACTATTATTAAAATTGGATTCACCTGTTTCTTTCTACTTTTGTGATGTATGTGGCTCCCACTACATTTCAGTTGGACAGCCCTGTTCTAGGGACTTCAGTGAGAACCAGATGAGGTGAGGGCTCCTCCTACCCCTGCTTCCCCACTGCTGAGGAGCAGGCGCTGCGAGGGGAGGAACGGCCTATCCAGCATGCGGCGTGGGCCCAGAGGTGTGTGCTGAATAGACAGACAGCCTGGGGAAGGGGCAGAGAAAAGATGCTCCTCGTGACACCACTTTCCTACCTTTTATTATTCAACAAGTGGACAGGGATGGAGGCACAAGGACAGGACAACAGCAAGTTTCAATAAATAAGAGAAACGGGGACAGGCAGTGGGCCCGCGCCTGCACGGCCCCACATAAATAACCAGGTTGCTGAGCCAGAGTGGAGATAAGGGCTGGGCACCACAGGGACACGGAGGCCTGCTCCCCAACGCTCCTCTCCCCCAGGCTCCTGAGATCTTGAGGGTGGCTGGGCAGGCTGGGCTCTGCACTACAGCCCTGCCCAGGTCAAGTCTGTTTTTTCAATTTCATTGAAAATGGAAGAGTGGGAGGCAGGCACATGCATTAAGCCCCTTAGGCAGAGCCATGGATGGACAGTCCATGGGGGCCTTGAAGGCAGAGGCCCTGGAAGCAGCAAAACAGGGCCAGATAAAGCTACTAATGGGAGGGGTGGCAGAGTCAAGCTCTCGCCCCACACCACCCAGCCCAGAGTCTGCAAGGAGCTGGAGAGGCCCTGGGTACTAAGACGTCATTCTCCCTACTTCAGTCAGAAAAACTGGGACCTGGCAATGGCCAGGGACATGCCTTAGAACCCAGGAACTCAGCCTCCCAGCCCAGGGCTTTTTATGGCCTCTTCTCTTTACAGAACCAGAAGAGGAGGGGGAGGCACATCTGCTGGAGGGCCCTGTGGGGGGGGGGGGGCTAATTACCAAGGTGTGGGGCCAGGGGAGCCAGGCGTGGGCCCCTCCACTCTGCCAAGCCCAGGCTTCTGGTAGTACAGAGTCCTGTGGAATCCTAGGATCTGGCCCAGGCAGCCACAGGGGACAGGGCCATCCTGCAGGGGGGAACTGGGGCAGCAGGGACAGGCACGGGGCTCAACCTGCTTCTGCACACACTGCCCGCCGACCTGCCTGCCTCCTCACTGGGGTGGACGCTCCCACCTCCAGGCCTTGGCCTTTGTTGTTTTGCCTGCTGGGCCATTGTTTCGTGGTCCTCACAGTCCCAGCTGCAGCTCTCCCTCCTCCTGGAAGCCTTCACAACCTCCCGGGGAAGGCTTCAGTGTCCTCAGACTAGGCAGCCCCTCAGATGACCAGGTTGCTCTCACTTAACCGGACCACATAGCGGTTCTCCTGGGGGGCAGGGGTGAGGGGTCAGAGCTGAGTCCAAGGGGCTTCTGATCTCCAGGAAAGTGGCCCCCACACCTCCACCCTTGTCCTGTCTTCAGTCCTGGGTTGGCCCAGGTACAAAAGGGACCTTCCCCCTGGCCCTTACCTCAGCCTTGTTCTCTGCTGGGGGCTTCAGCCACTTCGTATGGCTTCCACCACTTCCCAGCAGTGCCCGCTGCTCAGGGGGGAGGCCAGGTTGTGGGGAGTTGGGGGGATCACTCCCTGAAGGCGTGGCCTCTGTTATGGTCCTCACCTCAGATGCTGCTGAACTTGCCCGCTGCTCGGGAATTCGAGCCACACGGAACCTGTGAAGTGAGGAGATGGTACAGTTGTCTGCATTACAGGGGAGCCCCAGTGCAGAGGACAGCACCTGCCAGGGCCACACAGCAAGCTCATGCATCAAAGCCTGACCTGTTGACACCAGAGCCTAAGCCCTTCCCAGCCCCCTCCCATGCACAGACAGGGGCTTCGCTCTGCTATGTGAACCCGGCCCTCATCCCTCGAACTCTAGGTTGCAGGTGGACAGGCCTGAGAGGTCCCAGGTGCAATGGGGGCCAAGACCCTGCCCTGGGGACCTAAGGGCTCCATGGGAGACGCAGCATACCTGGGAAATCCTGACTTCTCCCTGGCCACCCCCACTCCCCAGAGAGGCCCAAGAATGGCAGGCCACCACTGAGCAGGATGCTCAGGGCTCAATCTAAGGCCCTGCCTCTCTCCTGGGCTGTCATGTCTTTCCCTGTCCCTGTTGTGTCTGTGCCCATCTCACCTGCCCACAGACAAGATGGTGATCTCGCCCTGGCGTCCTGCCTTGGGAGCCCTGGCCAAGTTGGGGAGGAGGCTGGGAGTAGGAGTGGTGGCAGCTGCAGCCTCAGGGGACAGCAGCACCTCAGGCCACTTCTTCTGGCTACAACGGGAGCAGCAGGAGCCAGAGAGTGAGGCCAGGCCCTGCACAGTGTGGAGGTGGTGGCCATGTGGGCAGATGTGTGGCATTCTTGGGGGGGCCGGTGGCAGCCTGCAGAAGGGTACAGGTGGGAGCGGTCACTAGGGCAGGCCAGGCCTAGGGCCAGGAGACCACAGCAGGGAGTGGAGGGGATCAGGGTGACAGGAGAGGGAACATACCCGAGTGGTGAGTCCTCAGGAAGTGGGCTAATTATCTGTGGGTTTGTCCCCTGCCCCGCTCCCACCTGCCCACTCACCTGGGCACAGGCCGGTAGTTTGTCTGCACCAGCTGTTTGCTGTGATACTCTTTCAGCAGCTCCTCCAGGGCCGCCGCGTTCTCTGCGGGCAGCTGCAGTCAGAACCCAGCTCTGGCCATAAGTGGCACCCCCCATCCCGTCCCAGCAGAGACCCCCTGTCTACCCATTACCCCTCCCCAGCCTGGCATGTGTGCCTTTTCCTCTCTCCTTCTTCAGGCAAGAACAGGAGGCAAAGGGGCAGCACAACAGGGTCAGAGAGCACCAGGCCCTTTGAGGAGCAGGCTGTGGGAGGAGACTCTCCTCTCCCGGGCACTGGGGTCGGGTCAGGCCCTCTCTCACCTTTCTTCTCTGTGATCAGACGCACCAGGACCCCTATGGTATCTTCATTGGCGTCATCAGCCCGGTAGGCGGGGTTGATCCCTGGGGAAGAGAAGAGAAGGACCATGATCACAGGGAAGAGGAGGGACTCCAGCCACCTGCGCTACACCAGGATCTGCCGGCAGAGGGAGCCCCACGCCTTCCTAAGAGTCATGACAGAGTCCTGCAGGTGGACATGCGTGCGTGTAGGTGCCAGAGCCCTGCAGCAGAGCTGTGTGTCTGCATGTGTGTGTGGGTGTGTGTGTGTAGGTGCCAGAGTCTTGCAGCAGAGCCATGTGTGTGTACATAAGTGACAAGAGTACTGAAGCAGAGTCACGTGTGTGTGCATGCATGTGTGGAGGTGTGCGTGGGTGTAGGTGACAGTCCGGCAGCAGTCGTGTGTGTGTGTAGGTGACAGAGCCCTACAGCAGAGCCATGTGTGTGTGCATGCAAGTGTGTGTGTGTGTAGATGACAGAGCCCTGCAGCAGAGCTGCGTGTGAGTGTATGTGTGTGGGGGGGGGTGTAGGCAACTGAGCTCTGCATCTACAGGACTCTAGGCTCAGAGAAGCCCATCGTAACCTTCACTACTCAACATTACTGCTTCCTGCACCCAATAGCCCCAGGTGCTTAGAGGTTTCAGGGCTATCTGAATTCCTCAGTCCCTATTAAGTATGTGGGGGGCATGGTATCAGCCTCTTCTGGGCCTGCACTGTTCCCTCCTCAGCCTCAGAGAGCTGTGGCTGCCTCCTTGCCCAGAATTCTCAACATTTACATTTAACTCTGCCATTTCACGCCCATTACCTGCCTACATCCCACCCTGACTATGTAATTACTGTATTTAACTGAGGGCCCTTGCTCAGCTTTAGGCCCAAACTTCAAGGGCATGAGAATGGGCCATTGTGATCAATCCCAGGCCCAGCAGCAAACAGAGCTCCCACAACTTGTACCCAGACAGCAGCCAGCAGTTAAAGGAAGTCACTAGGCCAGGGAAAACAAGTGTGGTCCCAGGCAAAATTGTGCTGAGTTGCCACCTTCCATCCTGTCTGTCTAAAGTTCCTGTCCGCTTCCTGCCCCCTGCAGACTTCAGGTCAGGAGTTAGAAGTGGCAACCTGGGGTGCTGGCCCGGGAGGTGCCATTTCAGTCTTGACTTGGCCACAAGGCTCCTGTGGGCCTAGGGATGTGCATGTGGGGCACCCTACCCTTCAGGGCACAGGGGTGGGGTGGGGAAGAAGAAAAAGGGACCCAGGGCTGGGAGTACTCATGGAAGAACGTGCCTCTCCCTCTGGTTCCAAGACTTGTAACTCAAACCACAGCCTGGAGCTGAAACCCGAGCCCCTTGTGGTGCCCGCCCAGGACAGCCACACTGCCAGCCCTCCTGACGCAGGGCATTCCAACTGCTCCAGGCCAGAGGTGAGAGGTCACCTTGAGTATGTCAAAGGCTGTCTGACTCTTGAACCACAAACACAACTGTAGCCCCCAAGGAGTCTAGAAGCCCACTGCAGGGCAGGGCCTTACCCAGGGTGGGAATCCCGCTGAAGCCACTTGATCATCTGTCCTGCCTCTGCTCCACTCCCATTGCCACTCGGCCCCCTTCCCCTTCCTCCCACTTGGTCAGTCTGCAGCTGTCTCCTCTGTGGTCCCTCTACAGCAGCTCCTCCAAGAAACCCTCCTGATTATTCCTCTGCAGGCCTCTCCCTGTCAGACCCACCCCAGGCCAGGAAGGTTCCCTCTGACAGCCCCCAAGCTGAGCTGGGGCCAGGCTAGCTGTGCCTTCTGGCCTCCCCACCAGGACCCCAGGCCGGGCCTCACCGCTGCCTCCACCTCCAGGGCCAGGCCCGACCTCCTTGTGGGCCGTGCAGTGGTAGCCCTTCCGCTTGAGCAGGTTACACACTAGGATGCCCAGCAGCCCCATGAGGCAGAAGACGGGCACGATGGCAATAACCGCGTACTGCGCAGCCGTCTCCTCAGGGCCGCCCGCCCGCGTGCCGTTCCCAAGCTGCCGCGTCTCCCCACGGCCGCTGGCCCCTGCTGCCACCTCCACGCCACGTCGGGCCCGCCGCCCCCACGCTGAGCACCACAGAGGATGAAGGCAAGACAGAGCAGAGACAAACACAGGGAGGCAGAGAGGACCAGAGGGAGTTAGTGTGGGGTGGGGGGAGAACTGATGTGTCCAAGCAGCCCACTCCCCACCACACTGGGGAAGCAAAGGCCAGCTCACTCCCCTCTTTTTTTCCCTTTTGGCCATCTGATCAGTCATCCTGAGCAAGGATGCCTCAGGACGGCCAGACCCTCAGTCCCTGTCCTCCCATTGTACTGGGGCCAGAGGGGTAAACGGACAGCATAGGCAGCACATGCCTGGGCACAGGGACACAGGATCCTGTCTTCCCATGGCCTGGTCCCTGAATTAGCTGCTTCAGAAAGTGAATAGTGGGCTGGCCAGGTAGCTCAGTTGGTTAGAGCGTGGTGTTATAACACCAAAGTCAAGAGTTCAGATCCCCATACCTGCCAGCTGCCAAAAAAAGGAAGGTGAACAGCCCAGCGGCGAGAGGAGTGCAGGTGTGTGTGAGCGTGTGCATGTGAGTACGCGCGAGTGCATGTACTCATGCATCCACATGGGCATCTTTGAGGGGATGGGTACAGGGGACCGGTCAGGATGTGAGCCCCCCCAGACTCCAGCATGGCTACCACCTGCCACTCAGAAGCAAGATGAGCAGACATAGCCAGTGGAGTGACTGACCACATCTTGCCGGACACCCTCCAGCTGCACATCCTCCCCTGAGCTGGGAGGAGGATCTCACTGCCCCCACATGGACACTGCCGAGGCTCCTGGGCTCAAGTTCATTGGACCCCTCCCACATACACCCCCACCAGTCCTAGCCCAATGTGCACTCACTGTCACAGCCATGAGTACCCAGAGGTGCCCAGGAACACAGCTGACATGGAACATGGGGTACCTCCAAAGGGCCAAACCACCTGCAGGGAAGGAATATGTCACCGAGGCCTGAAGTTTCCCTCAGAAAGTACCCTTAAGTGAGGCTGGATCCCTTCCTACCAGGCACCCTCATTGGTCCTGCCCCATCCCATCTCACAGATGGGAAGACTGAGGCCCACTCAGGTGGGGTGAGGCTGGGACCCCAGGATCCAGAGTCTTGGTCACCCAGCCATGACTCCCCATCCCCGTGGCTCACCCAGACTGACATCTTCCACATAATGTATCTTGAGTCGCTGTGCCCACTTGGGCCTCCAGCCTCCTTTGAAGGCTGCAGCGGGTATGGGGCTGGCACGGGCTGGAGCCCCATGAGGCTGAGAAGGTGCCCAGGGGGCAGGACCTGCATAATGTGCTCTGCCCCGGGTCCTGTGGGAGGGAAAGAGTGAGAACAAGGCCAGGAGCCAGGCCTGAGGTCCCTGGGGAGGCCAGGTGTGGGACTCCACCCCCTCCCCCCAGGAGTCGTCCCAGGGCAGGGAAGATGGGCAGCACAATGCTCACCAGGTTGGGCTCCTCTCCGGGTGGGCACTGCCAAGGGGTCGTTGATGCTGAAGTGGCCAGAGGCCAGAGCAGCAGCTGGAAGAACAGCAGGCAGGAGCATGTTGAGAGAGGTGGGAAGTGCTAGGCGTGGGGTTTCTGGGGTCATCTGTATACTACCTGAGGCCCCCGGGGTGGGGACCATGAACCACTCAGGGCCACCGTACCCCAGGCTCCAGAAACACTCTTCTAACCTCAATCCCTCACGCTGTGAGGAAAACCTGCTCTGCCCAGGCCTGTTGCATCACCAGTGCCTGGGTAGGGAGAGAACCACATCTGCTTCCGGAACATGCTGGAAAGCCCCATACAGGACCAGATCAGGATCTCAAGCCCGTGGGTCTCTGAGTCATACCTCTTCCAGCTAACCAGAAAAATAAGGAGGAAATGCTTCCGAATTCCTCTCAGATTCCAGTCCCCCTTCTGCTAACTTGGTCCCCTTCTACCTTCCACCCCCATCGCAGCCGGGCATGTCATTAACCAGCCTCTGTTTATCATCCTGGAGCCAAGTCTGCAGCTGGTGCTTCCTATTCTGGGCCCTCAGCTAAGTCTTCAGGACTACATCCTCCTCTGTGACCTCCCCATGTGGCAAGGCCACCTCATTCACACCCTGCATTGAAACAGGGCATGACATATTCCAACAGAAGGATCTTCTTAGCACGTGTCCCGCAGCCCACTTCACTGAGAGCTCCCTTTGCCTCCCATTCTCAGGTATGAACTGTCTGCCCTGAATCCCTCCTGCTGTGGGATGACCCCCCCCATCCTCTAATTTGGCCCAAGCTGGTTGGGCAGAGCCAGCTGCCCTGGAGGTGGAATGTCACACAGAGGTTCTCGGGACTTCCTTAGAACTGCTAAGACTGGGAGCCTCCTGTACAAGGAGCAGGCCTCAGAGATGCCCAAGGCCAAGTCTTGTCCTCCTTGAGCTTCCAGCATCACAGCAGAAAGATGGACCTCAGACCAGTTTCTAAGACACAGCCTGAGGCTGCAAGCAAGTCTGTAATCCAGAGTCACCAGAAGCTCTAGGCAAGAAGTTGTCCTGATTCTCTGATTATGGGACCTGGAGTCTGAGGTCCCTAGACCAACTTGGACTCCAGCATCTGAGGTGCTAAGGTTCTCAGGCTCCAAATCCCAGGCCTCTTTGCCCTCAGCCATGCCTACCTTGCCTATAAACACCAGAAAGTCCTCCCCTCTCCCCTCACTCACACTAGGCTTGGGTAGACATGTCTTGGGAAAGCCATGTGTCCCCTGTCTTGGGTGCCATGAGTAGAGGCAGCCATGGCCTCCCCTCCTTGGTCACCATCTCGTGCCAGGGCAGGCCAGAGGTGCTTCCTAGGGTCTGACTACCCCAGATTCTTCACAGGAACAGCTAAGTAACCAGCCCCACCCCAGCAGGGGTTCCTGAGCAGCATCTGTGCCTGCTCCATGGAGGGCTGGGTGCAGGGCTCAGGATTCGGCTTTTCTGGCTTCCCCCAGGCCCATCCCCAACTTACCACAAGGAGGCAGGACAGGGGCCAGCACAACGGGCTCAGCTTCATTGCCAGACCCTGGGTGGTCACCAGCCTGGGGCAGATGGAGAGGAGGCTCAGTGGGCAGCAGGGACAAGAAAGTAGCGGCCGTCCCCCCCGGCACCACTTTCAGGGTGACAGAACTTGGCAGGGAGTTGGCAGGGTGCTGCTGAGCAAGCAGAGCATGGACACTTTGCCCTACACCCCCTGGTGCCCAAGGAGAGTATGGCTGCCCTGTCTGGGAGGCAGCCTTGCAGAGCAGACTGGAAGGGCATGCGAGGGCTTTGCAGGCTGGGGAGGCTTCCCACGGGAGGAAGGGCTTCCTTCCCCTTCCATAAACAGCCAGGTGCCCAGTGATATCGGCAGGGGAGGCTGGGGGAAAGAAATGTGAATGGGCTGGGGGGATGAGAGGGCTGTGGCGGCCCCAGCCCCAGCCCCTCCACTCTCATCTGCAGAGCTGCAGGCTCTGGCCAGCAGAAGCCTGCATGGCCTCTCATGCTCCTCTGCCTCCACTCCTCCAGGTCTTCTCCAAGGAAGGCCCTTTCCTTCACCCTTCAAATCCCATTGCAAAGGCCTCTCTTTCTGGAAGCTTCTCTAGAAGCTTGCCCCCAAATTGGGTCTGGCTCCCACAGCTGCTGTGTGACCTACCACCCCCACCCCATCACAGTCCTGTTCTCCCACATGGCCACTGTCTACACCCTCTGACTCCTGCAAGGACAGCTGGGACGTGTCTGATGCCATGTTGGCCCCAGTGCCATGGGCAGAACTATTGGGGGGTGGGGGTCCTGGCAGCCAACCTTCAGCCTTACACCATCACTCCAGCATCTGCTATGCGCCACACACTGCCCTTGGCGCTAGAGAAATAGGCATAATGAGACAGCCGAGGCTCCATCCTCAGGGAGCCCCATCCCAGGGGAGACCGACAGCAAACAGATAAAGAGAGAGCGGTCTCCCTGCCAGTTGGTGGGAAGTGCCGAGAAACGAAACAAAGCAGGGAGAGGGCACAGTGAGTGAAGTTAGAAGTATCAGTGGTGGCTCTGCAGACCACTGGCCTGAAGCTGAGGCCCCCCCCCTCCAAGGCCCAGACTGTGGCCTCTTCTAGAGAAGTCTCTGGCCAGCTTGAGACAGCAGGAAGGATTCGAATGAGACAACAGAAGGGACTGCAGCACAACGAGGAAGTTCCATGATGTATTTCCAAGAGGCCTGGCTTCAGGTCCAGGAGGCTGAGGGAAGCTGTGCTGGGCCTCAGCAGGGCCGTACGTAGCCTCAGAGAGCCCGGCCACTGGCCCAGGGTCCCCAGCAGGCAGAATCCCGAGCTGTCTGATGTCAAGCCCAGCGGGAAAGGCGCCACATGCAGTAGGTCCCAGGTCACATGACAGCCCCTCTCCTGAGAGGCAGCCCAGGCTTCCCGCCTGGAAAAGGAGCCGAGGAAACCGATCCACCCGCCTGCACGACATCGCGGCCTGGCTTGGCACAGACCTTGGAGGGGCCAGGGGTTTGAGTTTCACCCAGGGGAGGGATAAGGGCAGCAGTCACATTATCCTGGGGACTTTCCAGGTCACTGGCAGCTGCTCTCAGCCCCAGCTCAGGGGAAAACCAGAGACAGAAGAAGGCCAGCCTACAGAGTAGGGTGAGGGCCACACCCGGCAGTCAATAACCAACAGATGGCATCCCCCGAATCATCCCCCCACCTGTCCCTCCTCAAATGTGGTCACAAGTCTTGCTTCCAGTTTCTGCCCCAAAGCATCCCTTCCCCCTGCCCAAGCCCAGTTCCCACCTCAAGCTTGTCCCCCCAAGGCTCCCTCCCCTGTCCTTCAAGGGATCTAATCCACAGAGCTGACCCCAAGTCCCCAGGATGTCCCCACAGCCCAGAGGGCTGGGGCACGGGGTGAAAAGCAAAAGGCAAAACAACCACAGAGAGAGCCCTGGAGCCATTCCTGACCCTGGGTGGCACCTGCTGAGTGACCTGAGTCCACAGGAAGAGGCTGTGCAGCTGCTCATCTGCAGACAGACTTGGAGCTCAGTGATCTAGAGGCTTCCAGGAGGAGAGTGAGGGTCCAAAGGCCCAGACACAAAGCCAGCCAGGGCCCGTTCCGGCACATTCAGACACCCGCGCCGGGTACCCTTGTGCCTTCTAATTACACACCTTCAAATTAGCTCAAACTGGCACTTAACACCAGTCTGGCTGCCCCGGCCCCACGCTCAGCCCAGACTGAGCCGCCACAGGACCTGCCCAGTCAGGCAGGAGGCCCACGCGCGTGCACGCCAGAGCTACACCGGAGCGCTGGAACGAGGCCAAGAAGCAAGTTCACACAGAAGCCCCTAGGCTGGAAGGGGGTCTGCGAAGACCCCATCTGGACCGCACTGGCCTGCCCTGAAGGCCAGACAGCAGTCAGTCAGTGACCTCCCACAGCCAGCGCCTCCTGACGGCTTCCTGTAGGACAGCTGTCAGAGCCAGGACACTGAGGCCCCAGAGGGCCAAGGGCGGCGCTCTCCAGCCCCAGTGCACCTGACGGGAGACGCACCCCGGCCACACTGGATGACGGGCTTTAGCGCAGAAGGAAGTTGGCTTAGAGGCCACTCCTTCCCCACCGCCACCACCCCCTGTGGGAAGCCCCTCGCCCCACCTCACAGGTCAGCTTCCTCACCTGCAAGACGGGGCTGTTCACCTCCACGGCAAGGCTGTCGTGAGGTTCACATGAGGTAATGGGCCTAAAGTGGGTCACAGGATTTCCTCCCGCACCCCTTCCTTTCCTCCGCACCTGGGGAGGGGGGTGATTAAGCCGCGTCAGCCCATCCACCTGCCCCTGCTCCCGGCAGACAGCGGCAAGGTCGGGTGTCTGCTCTGTCACCACAAAGCCTGCTCCTGGGGCCTCCACCGAACAGGCTCATGAGGCTGGGACAGCTTCCTCAGACTCTGCCCTCCAAAGAGTGCCCAAACAATGTGAACCAGAAATTCCCTGGGTAAAAGCCAACTGGCAAAGCCATGAGCAGAGCCCAGGCTGAGGTGGAAGCTGGAGGCTATATAGCCCCAGGGATGTGCGGCCCTGGAGGCCTCAGAAAAAGGGGAAGCTGTGCCTCCTGCCCAGGCCTCCGGCAGCTTCCCCTTTCCCTCCTCAGCTGTACACTCCCCAAGATCTCCCAGGGCCTGTGCCCACCCCTCCTGCCCCCAGTCCCCTCCCTGGCCTCCAGGGCAGGCCCACCCTGTAGCCCAGGTGTCTTGACACTGAGATCTGGCCCTGGCCCTGGGCCAGCTCCCACCACCCTCAGGATGGCATCCCATGCGCCCCTACCAATCCCCCACCATATGCACACACAACCACCCTGAGCTTCCTGGTCCCTGTCCCTCAGACACACCATACCTGTACCCGTACCTGCCGTTTACCCAGACACCCCTCCCATCACCTGGGCGACACCAACCACACCTGCTCTTCATTCAGAGCTCAGCTCAAAGTCACTCCCTCCTGGAAGCTGCCCCAACCATCACCTCTGGTCAGCATTAATTGCCCTGTGGTGAAGATCTTGTTTACCCAGCCCCCTCCCACCATGAGCTGCCCTCCATGTCCAGAGCCAGGCTGAACAGAATGGGGTGGGGAGGCAGAAAAGGCGCTCCCAGTAGAGGGCCCAGCTATACAGGGTAGGGAGGGCAGAGCAGGCTGATGGTGAAGGAGCCCAGAAGCTGGGCTAGGCAGGGGGGTTTCTTCACTGGCTTGGTGGCTGTGGACCCCCTGAAGAGGGCTGTGGAGAGGGTGGAATGAGTGATCGCACATTAAGTACTCAGCACAGGCCTGACACAGAGTAGGCCCTCAGATAAGCATTCATCACACTTCACCGTGCCTCAGTTTCCCCATGTGTAAACTGTGGAGGGGGAAGGGCACACATCTGACAGGAAGGTGTGAGATATACTTGAGATTCTTTTATATTTATGTTCAGTACCTGGTACACAGGAGGTGCCCCATTAGCCATGGTGAGAATCGGGGGGGTGGGAGGGCGTCTTGGGCAGCCATGATCTCCCGGTCACCACCCTGGGGTGATCACTCCTTGAATGCTGGATCCCTAATCCTGCACCGCACACAGCCAGGAAGCAGCTGCTCCCTGGCCCACCCCCAGGAGCTGGGCATGGTTCTGCCCCTCAGCCCTCCTGCCTGTTACCAGGCCTGGGCTTCAGTGGCTCAGGTTGGTGAGGTGGGCAAGTTGGGCTGAGCAGCTAATTGGCCCCTTGAGGCTAAGAAAAGGGCTGAGGTGTTCAGACCTGGCTCACCCATCTCCTTCCAGGCTGGGTATGGTCCAGATGCAATCCCCTCCCCCTTCCCAGGCCTAGTCTGGGGCTAGGGGAGGAGGTGTCTGAGACCAGGGAGTCATCTCTAGGGCAGAGGTGTAGCTCCCTAATGCCTCCCAAACTAAGCGCCTACTGCATGCCTCATTCCTTCTCCAGGCTGGGTCTCACTGAAAACCTCAAAGACAGGGTTCCATGCTTCACAGTTGAGGAACCAGGTTCAGAGAGGGGAAGTAGTAACCTGTAACAACTTGGTCTCAAAGGCAACAAGGTTTGCCCACCCTGCAGCAGGCAGCCCTTGCTGTGCCACCCTGGCCTGGCATTCCTGTTGCTTCTAGCCCATCACCAACCTCTTAGCACCATGGGCCAGCCCTGGGATGCCTCCCCCAGTGCCAAGACAGGACAGCAAGGCGCCTGGGAGGGGCTGGAGGACAACTCCCAGCAGACTCCGCTCATGCTACTGCTACCTCCGCCTCTGAGAAGCCACCTTTGCCTCCTGCCCCCCCATACAAGACATCTGATTCATCTCAGACATCTCGTATGTCTGGTACCAAGTCACTAAGGTGCCAGGGTCTGCTCATCACAGGTCCTACCCCCATCACCCTAACCTGGCCGACTTGGTTAGAGGCTTGGGGAGAGACTGAGGGGAGACCATAGCCCTAGCCTGGCCCATTCTCCATCTCCTCCAGACTCAGGTGCTGGGGAAAGAGGCCCCCCCGGTGCAATCCCAGGTCAGGTCCTACCCAGCGGATCT